TTTTTATAAGAGTAGATTAAATACATCATTGTCTATTAACTTTATTCTAAAACATATATCAATATCAATATATCAATCATAAGGGTTTGGTTTGAGGTTGAGTTCCAAAATGCATGAAGGTCCTAGGCTGGAATGAATAAAAATCCATGAAAGTTTAAATGTTCATGGATGATTAATTAGCTCGAATGGTAGTAGGACTAGGATATCAAAGTTAATAAAAAAAAAAAAAGAATATATAATATTAACATTTTCTTAATAATTAATTGTACATAGGAGTTGAGTTTGTTCTCAACCGGAGGGAGGGAGGAAGGAAGGAGGAATGATGCAGCTGGTAATGATTACGGTGCCTAGTCTAACAGTCTAGTATTATTATAAAGCATGATAGGTTTGATTATAGTCAGAGTTTCTTTCATCATCTCCTTCTCCTTCTCCTTCTCCTTTCTCTCTTGTCTCTATCTCCGGCGAAACCCATCTGCGCTCTTTTTCTAAATTCTAATTCCTTTCACTCCCTCCTGCTTCTAACCAATCAATGTCAGCTTCACTCATCACTTTTGGAGACCAAAATCACTGACCTTTTTTCATTCCAAAATGAAAGCTCCTCCAAACGCATATCAACCCAATTATGGACAAGGTACGCACGCACTCCTCTTTTTCATTTTTCTGCAACACCTTCTTGTCTTTCTCTTTATTTTTTGCCATCTCTGGTAATTGGGCATATCATATCATGATTAGGCTAACAAGGAAAAAAAAAGATCCTTAATCAGCTCCCCATAAACAATGTCTGACTCGTCTACCTTTTATAACTTACACTCATTCCTATACTATACTCCTGAGTTCTCTTCCGAATTTGTTGAAAGAAGAAAAGAAAAATGAAAAAGATTTTTTCTTTTGGGTTCAATTCGACAAGAACGCATATGACTTGATATAGAATCGTTCTGGAGGCATATTCCAGCTGATGGCCTTTGTGAATCTACTCAATTTTATCTTCAGGCATAGTCGAGATCTATTTCCAAAACCATATCCTGCTAACTTCATGTATGTGGTACCAATTTGTCCTGGTGTGTCTGTCTCTCTCAAATTTGCCCTTTCTCATGGAAATCAGCCTGCATGTTATTTTGTCACCTAACCCAGTAGTCTTAATATCATACTTGAACCTTCATTTTGTTGCTTTGATATATTCTTGAATTTTGAGCTCATCCTGATTCAACTCAAAGAAAAAAGAAGATTACCAATTAGTTGAAGTTGATTATTCATGACTTAAATTGTATCATATGTTGTTCTCAGGTGTGAGGAAGGTAATGAATTCGGAGTTATGGCATGCCTGTGCTGGGCCAATGGTCTCCTTGCCTCCTGTTGGAAGTCTGGTGGTGTACTTCCCACAAGGTCACAGTGAGCAAGTAAGCTTTCTTTTCCATGCTATGTGCATCAGAATATATATATATATATATATATATATATATATACACACACACACACACACATTCAGATCAGGTTGGTTCAAGAGAAAACCGCAAAAAAATGAAACAATGAGTGAACATTTTGGTAACTGTCATCTGGACCCGTGCATACAAGTAATTGAACTTGTTTCATTTTTTTTAGGATTTTCTTCCGAACCTCCCCCCCCCCCTCTCTCTCTCTCTCTATATATATATATATATATATACATAAAAAGTCTGTTTACTGATTTTCTTGGTTGAAAAACTATGTATAGGTTGCGGCATCTATGCAGAAGGATACAGAAAACATACCTAACTATCCTAATCTTCCTTCCAAGCTCATTTGCATGCTTCATAACGTCACATTACATGTATGTGTTCCCACACATTCAATTCCCCTTACTTGACATGTGTGGACTAATGGACACTTATGCCTGACAATTTGCATTGTTTGGACTAGGCTGATGCTGAAACTGATGAAGTCTATGCACAGATGACCCTTCAACCTGTAAATAAAGTATGTCAGCTGGTTATTTATTGAATAATAGCTAGCCATCAAATTTTGGTTTTCTTTTTTATTGGTTTTTACATCAAGTTACTTAAAAGAGTGTATGCAACATGATTGTACTGCAGTATGACCAGGAAGCATTACTTATCTCGGATATGGGTCTAAAACAAAACAAGCAACCCTCTGAGTTCTTTTGCAAAACTCTAACAGCTAGTGACACAAGCACCCATGGTGGATTCTCTGTACCTCGCCGAGCTGCTGAAAAGATTTTCCCACCACTTGTAAGTTGAATATCATAAATCGTGTTTTCGTGATTGTATCTATATTCCATTGCTTACTAGAAAGATGTTTTGGTAGGATTTCTCAATGCAACCTCCAGCTCAGGAGTTGGTAGCTAGAGATTTGCATGATCAATCTTGGACATTCAGACATATTTATCGAGGTTTGTGGATTTCAAAATTTACCCCTTTTTCTATCTATCAATATATGAATCACCAAAATACAGGTAACTTACATGAGGCTTTTGTAATTTGGACTGGTTTATGGAACAAGCTCATGTCATTAACTATAAACCCATGAATCTGAATCCACAGAGACTAGCAATCATGTACCAAATGATGTTGGCATCTAGGAAACTTTTAAGATTTCTCATCTTCAATTTCAGGCCAACCCAAGAGGCATCTACTGACAACAGGATGGAGCATTTTTGTCAGCTCTAAAAGGCTTTTTGCTGGCGATGCTGTTCTTTTCGTAAGGTATGAAAAAGATGATTAAAAAGAGTATTATCTTTATTATTCGTTTTTCTTGCCGTTACCTAACTGATAAGGCTGATTATAGAGATGAGAAATCACAGCTTATGTTGGGAATTAGAAGGGCTAACAGACAGCAGCCTGCACTCTCCTCATCAGTTATATCCAGTGACAGCATGCACATTGGAATCCTTGCTGCTGCTGCTCATGCTGCTGCAAATAATAGCCCCTTCACCATTTTTTACAATCCTAGGTAATATGGAAAACTTGCTATTTCCTTATATATACATCACTGGATAAGTTTATTAACAAAAAGCTTAATGATGTCAAACTATCAATGGATAACTTTGAAAATGTCAAAATATTAAATTCACTTGAATTGGACAGGGCCAGTCCTGCTGAGTTTGTGATACCCCTAGCCAAGTATAATAAAGCAATGTATACTCAAGTTTCATTGGGTATGCGGTTCAGAATGATGTTTGAGACTGAGGAGTCGGGAGTTCGTAGATATATGGGAACCATAACTGGTATCAGTGATATGGATGGAGTCCGGTGGAAGAATTCACAATGGCGTAGTCTTCAGGTGTAGCTGCTCACATGGAACCTTCTCTTATATAATATATATATAACACATTAGAACAAATTTGATGTTCCTGAACTGTCTTTCCTTTCTAAGGTGGCATAAAGAGTCTCTTTAATTACCTTTATCCAAATTAAAAAGAGTCCTTTTATTAATTACTATTTATATGCAATTGTTCCTTAAATAATGCATGCCACGTTAAACAATTTCTTTTATTGATCTTCCGAGGGGATTTTGTACACAATGACAGGTTGGATGGGATGAATCAGCAGCTGGTGAGCGTCCTACTCGTGTTTCAGTATGGGAAGTCGAGCCTGTTGTGACTCCATTTTACATGTGTCCACCTCCATTTTTCCGTCAAAAGTTCCCTCAACAACCAGGAATGCCAGGTAATCTCTCTGTGCTATGACCTAGAAGTTTAACCAAGCTGTAATGAATAGAGAATTTGCATCTTATTCGTTGTAATTTGTTTGTGGTCATGCAGACGGTGATACAGAGATAGAGAATGCTTACAGAAGAGGGATGCCTTGGCTTGAAGAATTGGGTATGAAGGATGCCTCCAGTTCAGTCTTCCCTGGCTTGAGTTTGGTCCAGTGGATGAGCATGCAGCAGAACCATCGGTTCCCATCAATGCAACCAGGGGTTTTCCCTTCCATTGTTTCGTCAAATTCTATAAATGGTAGCCTCAGCTTTGACGACCCCTCCAAGCTATTAAGCTTTCAATCCCCTAACCTTTCTGTTCCAAGTCCACAGTCAAACAAAGCAAACCAAAAGAACCAACTTGCAAGTCCCCTGCAACAAATATCTCCTCCTCCATGGCCCCAACACCAGCAGCTGTTGCATTCCGCTCAACAACACCAACTGCAGCAGCAGCAATCTCAAGATCATCAGCATCAACAGCAACTGTATCATCAACAACAGACTTCTATGTACAGTAAGCTACAGCAACAACAACAACAGATGCAACACCATCAGTTGCAACAGCAACAACAACAGCAAAATCATCAGCTGCAGCAGAAACAACAACAGCAAAACCATCAGCTGCAACAACAACAACAGAAACAACAGATATCGGGAAACACACAAGCTCTACAAATCAGTGGCTCAGCCACTAGAACTTTATCTCAGCCTTTATCCATATCCTTGGAGTCACAGTTTCAGCATCAAATGGAACAACAGCAAGGGCAGTTGCGACAACATAACTTGTTGCTGGGGCAAGCAGCACCACAACAAAGCCTCTCAGAGCAGCAGCAAACACTGCAAGTGCTGCAAAAATTGCAACAGCAACAGCAACATCTGTTCTCACCATCAAGTCATGTAGAGCCTCAGTTACCCCTACAACAGCAGGTATTGCCACAATTTCAGCAAGCCAAACAGCAGTCATTATCACAGCAACAACTTAGCAGTAACAGTTTGTCGACATCCACACTTCTGCAGTCACCTCAGTTTCCTTCAAACCAACTACAGAGTCAATACAAACCACTGGTGCCAATAAGAGTTCATCCTGGTATTACTGATGGGGATGCTCCGTCTTGTTCCACTTCTCCTTCAACAAATAACTGCCATATAACTCCATCAAACTTGTTGATCAAGAACCAACAAGGACCATCTGTTGTTGGGGATGATTCCATGGTTGATCCTTGTTCTAAGTTTGTTCATGATCTTCAAAGTCAAAGTAAATCTGATGCAAGAATCAAACATGAGTTGAAAGTACCAGAACAACCTAAATACAAAGGCATTGCTACTGAACGATCGGAACCTACTACATCTGTAACATCATACTGCTTGGATGCTGGTGGCCTTCAACAGAATTTCTCGATCCCAAACTTGTGTCTGGAGGGTGATGTTGTTCAGTCGCAAACAAGGAGCGACGTCTCTTTTGGGGCTAATATGGATAGCCTGCCACCTGATGCTTTGTTGTCAAGGGGTTTTGATTCACAAAACTTGATGTCTAACTACTGTGGCCCCCCTAGAGATATCGAGGCCGAGTTGTCAGCTGCTGAGATAAGTCCACAGTCATTTGGGATGCCTGATATATCTTTCAAGCCAGGTTGTTCAAATGACATTGCTGGTAACGATGGTGGTGTTTTAGGAAGTGGGTTGTGGGGTAATCAGACACAGCGCATGAGAACATACACAAAGGTGTCAGTCTATAATTATCCATTTCTTAATTGTTATATATACATGTTGTAGTGTTATTATATATTTAGTTGTAACTGTCTTAATTAGGTCCAGAAGCGTGGGTCAGTAGGAAGAACCATTGATGTGACTCGTTACAAGGGGTATGAAGAGCTGAGACATGATCTGGCTCTCATGTTTGGTATTGAAGGTCAACTAGAAGATGCACAAAGAACAGAGTGGAAACTTGTTTATGTTGATCATGAGAATGATATACTGCTGGTTGGTGATGATCCATGGGAGTAAGTAGATTTCATTCATTGAACTTAATTAGCATGTTAAAAACCTGGGTGATTGATGTAAAAAAAGGAATTAATTTCAGGGAATTTGTGAGCTGTGTGCAAAGCATAAAGATACTGTCATATTGTGAAGTACAACAGATGAGTTTGGATGGTGATTTAGGTAACGTGCCGGTGCCGAATCAAGCCTCGAGTGGGACTGAGAGTGGGAATCCATGGAGAGGGCAATATGATCATGAGAATTCAGCTGCATCCTTTAACAGATAATTATGAGGGTGAATTAAGAGCTTAATATCTCTATTTTTGATGAGCTCTCTGGGTGGGTAGCTAGGTAGGGTGAAGGTGTAAAGAGAAGCAAGAAAGATGTATTAATCTTGTTAAATGTATGATCATGAGCATATATAGAGGTGATATATATATATATATATATATATATATATATATATATATAGGTAATTGTAAATGTTGTAATAAATCATATATATATATATAAGATGAAAACTTATTAAGGTATGGTAGGAGGTTACCATATGCATATATCGATCTGCTTCCCTTCCCTTAGCTTGGTTAATTTGGAAACTGGGGTTATGTTGAAGATTACAGGTAGCATTCATATCAGTATGTGTGTGTGTGTGTATATATATACATCTATATATATATATATAGACGATGATGATGATGGGCGGTCATGGGAGTAGAGATAGAGTAGGTTGGTGAAAGAAAGAAATTAGGAATGAATTCAAAGGAGGTGTAGAAATCGCGTAATACCAGTGTTTAATAGAAATATATACAAGGCATGGGGTTAAAGAGCTACCATTTGGTCTGGTTGACTTTCTATCCATTATTATTATATATATTTCTAAATCTATACATGTGATTGTGAATTAACTTGAGTCAATGTTTGTGGACCAACCATTCTTATTGTTTTTTCTTTTCTTTTTCTTTTTCTAGTGCCAACAAAACTAATTCCATATATATATATATATACTACAATTTTAAACGACATTAATTATTAATTGTAGTACGTTCACAACTTTAAATTAATTAATTTTTAATGACATGCATTAAAATTAGTTTCTTTTACAATTAGTATTTCATTTTAACATTTTATCAAACATTTGTAATTAATTCCGTCTATATATATGTATAGCAAGTCAACCCTATAATTTAATAACATTAGAAATTAAAATAAATAAATAAATAATGTATAATTAAAGAAATGAGAAATGGATAAATAAAAATGGAATTGTCATTGAAAGAGGGTGGACCACAAATGACAAGAAGAATGAAAATGAACCAAAAGAAAACAAAAACGTGGTGTTTATTATATAGTCATGATGTCACCGCGTAGCAAGCACACACAGCAGACTGACACCTGGCCTCTTTCTAGATTGTCATAATCAACGCGCCCCGTTGACCTCTCTATTCAGCCGCCAATTTCCCATTCAAACTATATATATCAAACTTACCCCATCACATATTTTCATCAACGTTCTCTCCAACAACAGAACCCACACTGTAATAACTACAACCACAACCACTACTACTAGTAGCGAGCTACTTCATCAATTATGGTCAAATCTCCACCTCCGACCACCCTCGAAAGAGTTGATGAAGCCAAATACAGAGGTGTCCGAAAGAGGAAATGGGGAAAATGGGTGTCGGAGATCAGACTACCCAACAGCCGCGAAAGGATCTGGTTAGGTTCCTATGATTCACCGGAAAAGGCAGCTCGTGCTTTTGATGCAGCTCTCTTCTGTCTACGTGGCAACACTGCCAACTTCAACTTCCCTCATCAACCTCCCAACATTCCTGGAGCCACCGATCTTCATCCTTCCCAGATACAAGCTGTTGCTGCTACTTACGCAAATGAATCTTCCAACTCCCCATCTCCAGACGTCGTCATTAATAATCATAATTACCACCTGCAAACACCTGCTGCTGCTTCTACCTCCAATAATGTTAATGTGGACGAACAAGATTCCTTTCTCATGGATCACGTTCATACCAATGACGCTGTACCAGATTTCGGGATCTTTCCAGGATTTGATGATTATTTCATGCCCATGCACCCACCACTACTAACTGCTCATGATTATTACGGATCAGAGGAGCAGGTTTTTGATTCGCAAGATTCATCCTTCCAGCTCTGGAACTTTTAGTTAATTATATTAACACACACATATATACACACACACACACACACACACACACATATATATATATATATATAGCTATAGGCCTACGTGAGATCATGATCTATACATATACAATACATGTATATATACGTGCATGCACCAATTATTTATAAGGAAAGGGAAAGGGAAGAGGATAGGAAATTTTTTAATGATCTGCTGCTGAAGTTGTACAATACATGGAGATGGAGCAGGCAAGCAGTTTTTGCCCATTCTCGTTTTTAGCTTCCAGCTTCATGTTTTTTGTTTCCTTCCATTCTTTCTCTTCGAATATTCCAGGAGGTGTAATATTGTATCATCGTTTTTCCTTGCTATATATGAAGTTGCTACGTATTTAATTCGTTGTTGGTGTATTTAATTAAATGTTGATGTATTTAATTTAACAAGGCATGCAACACTCATCATATTAAGAGTCGACGCTAGCTTTTATAAACCATGATAATTATCAAAGGATTACCGATAGATTGTACTCAAGAAAAGGAAATTAAACCACCGATAATCTATTTACAGACCACGTACATTGCGATGCGATGATATGACTATTATTTTGTTTTTGCTTTCTAAAATGGTTAAGTTTGTTTGGATAGTTGAAAAGGCAAATCCTCACCTTTACTAGCTACTTCACAACACAATTCACATACTTGATTCTGGTTTTTTGTTTTTTGAACCTTTGTGGTGTTTAAAAATCTCATCATATATAACTTTTGTTATTAATTAGTTCCATCAATGTAGTGTTTAATTTGGATTCCTATGCAAGAAATCACGTAAATGCATGCTTTGTAACCCAAAAGAAACACCACTTTTATTGATTACAGAACTCTCATTATGTATTACAGATTAATTAAACATACACGATACAACAACAAAAAGCTCACACATGTACATATATATATATATATATATTGATCATCATCTTCAAATTACATTTTGAAATATATTAATTTCCAAAACTATAGATAGATAGACAGATAGATAAACAATATGATTAAATAAAGAGGCGATCGACCAATCTTAAACGTTGGAGAAGACGAATAGCCCATTTAGGCGGCAACTCTACTAGACTGTTTGCGTAAAGCCCAAAACAAGAAATTGGTAGCCATGTCAATGGAATTATCCAATAGAACAAAGAGTTGGTTTGGCCAAACATAAGTGCCAAAGTTGCACCAAAAGCTGCAATCATGAATGTTGCAGACATGAACAAGGTGGCAAAAGCACTTAACAACCTTAGATGTAAATGCAAAGCAAAATCTTTTTCTCCAAAAGGTGAAGTGAAGATGGACAAGAACAATAACAAGGAGGTGGCAGATGTCAACATGGATAAGGCATTCGATACTGCAAACAAGGTGAATATAGTTCTTCCTGCAAATTGTGGGTTTCCCGTTTTATCATCATTTCCACCGGGCACTGTAATTGCTGCTGCAAACGTTATTGTGGTCAATAGTGTTGCTGTAACTAGCCCTGAGTTTGCAGTATCCTTCAACCATTTTTCTCCTTTCATCTCCAACTCTTTATGCTCTCTTGTAAATACCATTTCAGGCGTTTCTCCAACTTTATTTTTTTCCTTGATGCATTGAGGCAACCAACGCTTTGCTATCTGCATGCATGTCATTAATTATTACATACATACATATATATCTTATATAGCTAGCTATCTAGGAATTCATTAATATAACTATTTGGTGCATGCATACCTTAAACCATTGTAACTCAAATCTTATTTGTAAAGCTGCACCTGATATATGATTGAGTTTATCGGCAGGTGCCAACCTTGCAGCAAAATGAAGTAAATTATTGCCAAAAGGGTCGTCTCCTTCAACATTAATCTGAGATATATTCGTATGTTTAGCCCATTGATCACCATGAGTGATGACAGCCATAACTTTGAGTGAACGATTTTTCAAAGCAGCCTGAGCAATGTTGTGACCATCTTCATCGACGCTCCTAATTGTATTTGGAAAACAAGATACAATATGTTGTACAACATCCCATGCATCTCGTTTAACAGCTTCAAAGATGGGTTTGGAGTAATTATGATCGCAGTTTGAAGAATCTTTAATCAAACCACAAACCATCACTAACAGTTTTCTAGCAGCCTCTCGACTTTCCCCTCTCCTTTTGAAGTAGTAGAATACTGCAACACTAAATTATAACTGATTGGTATATTTACATAATATTTATTTAATTGTTAATTTGTTAATTAAATGAAGATTGTAACTGCTAGTTAATGCATATCACCTTTTGACTTCATGCAGATCCAAATAAACATTTGTAAAGGCCAGATGAAAGCTATACGAAGATATAAAAAGGAGAAAATTAAGTCTGTTAATTATAAGTTATAAAACTAATTACTACACTCAACCAATTAACATGTCGTACGACATACCCACTCCGAGGACGACGATCGCTAACATCATAAAATTGAGATCCAAAATGCTGCTGACCTCGTAACCCAAAGCAGCTCTGGTAACGAATCTCAGTATTGGAGTCTTCCACACTTGAAAAACCAATTAAAAATGTGTGAATTAATTAATTATACTCACAATTATGAGAGATCGAATTACATGCATGCATCAAGTATGTATTTAATTAGATATGCACAAGGTATATAAGTATATATGGACAAACATTCATAGTTGATCAATTCGATGAGACCGAAATCACATGGGAAGTGATGAGCTATGGCCATCAACACATCATCGTCTCCCTTCAACACATTGTATCTCTTTGTCAATTTACATGCTAACTCTGCATATTAATTTAAATATATATTTGACGATTAGTTCCATGCATGATATATTTTTGTTAATTAATTGTCAAAATGATTGATCACTCACCGAAATCTCTGCAGGAAATAGCATTAACCAAAGGCCTTTCATCACTGATCATATGAACAGAACCAGTACCTTGTTCTGGGTGTGCATGCATGGTCAACAAATACAGATATGTGTCGGTATTCTTAGGACCCCAAGGAAGTATGTCAAGTGGTGTGCAACCTTCGTTGTCCTTGGCAAACAACAAGCCTTGGCTTCTGTCCACCAAGATTCTAGCAGCATCAGTATTGCCAAGTGAAGCAGCAAGATGAAGCAGTGTGCTTCCATCTGAATTTCGAACATCCATCAGCCTAGTACTACTTTCTGGTTCCAGATCCAGCATTCTATCTAGAAACCTATTCTTGACAGTATGGCAGGCTACTGCCAGGTGGAGTGCAGTGTTGCCGTTGATGCTGATTCTGTCTGCGAGTTTAACTTGTTTTGTTTTTAAAAGAGACTCAATCTCTTTCAATCTTTTATGTTCAACAGCAAGATACAATTGCTGGTGAATGTTTGCTAATTTCTCATCTTTTATCTCAGTCTCTTGATTTCTTCTTTCTTCATCACCTGTACGATCACCTGAATCAATTAATTATATAATTTTGAACATCATGCATTATATATCATGTATATAAATTAATTAATTAATTAATTAATTAATAGGTGTTATATATGGATTGTACCTGCTGCATGTGGTTGAGGGTCATACGTTGCTGCTAGTTTCTCCCACACATGTTTTGCAGTGAAATCTGGTGAGGGAAAATCTGGAACACAGAGGGCAAGTACTTGTTCAGAAAGGGAACCAAGAATCCAACCTTTGACAAGGGCATCGGATCTTCTCCATAATTTCTTATCATCAGCAGCTGGGAAGTTATCAGCATTATTGATGAAACCAAGCATTCCATGGCTCTCGAAGAGACATAGCATCTGTGTTTTCCAGACACCATACTTGTCTCTACCACTCAGCTTCACGGTAACAAAGTTGGGGGCAAAAACATGTGATACTGATGGGTAGTCTTGTAGGATATTAACGGATGTAGAGAGCGACATGGTAGGATCCAAGTTAGTTAGTTCATTGGTTATTGAAATATTTGGTATGGTTTGCATGCAATTGCATGGTGGTCATGTGCATGTATATATATGTATTAGCTAATAGCTAGCATGTGATACACAACACCATGCAAGGCAGGGGTTGCTTCAAAAGGCAACATTCCATTCACGATTGCCTTGCTTTCCACCACTTAAATAATATTCTTTATAGCTTTTTTGTTGGATAAAGATATTCTTAATTGAGCTGAAGCCTTAATTAGTTGTATATACATTACAATTGATATGATAACGAATATTTCAATTGGATTTCTCTTAATTAATTAATTATCCATCGCCATTCATTTAAATCAAAACGACGACGAGGCCTGTATGCATGCATGCATGTGTTCCATTTCCATCCATGCATTTTACTTTTTCTCCTTTTCTTATTCCTTGCTTCCTTATATTATAATTCATATACATACATATACATATATATAGCTTCGATCAACATATATTATCTTTACAAGCTTGTTACTTAAAATCATCAACTCAATTCCGTTTAATTAATTATCATTCTTTTTCTTTCTTTACAACATGCATGCATGCTATGTTCTTTTCTTTTCTTTTTTTTACGTAATATATATGGATTGTGGTGGTGAGATTAATTTGTAACAGTGACGACCTTGCCCCAACTACTATTACTACTATACTCTTCACTAATTAAGTAATATATATATATATATATATATATATATATATAGCATTCATATATAATTAAATTAACCAAAAGAATTGAACTTATATTATAAAACAACTCCAAAAACACTACTATATATGGATATGGATATGCGATTTTACACTAACAACATTCCAAATTAAGAGTGGTGTCATATCGATATCGATGGACAAACGAATCACTTCGTATAACAAGACAAGCATCTAAAATGTGGTGCACGTGGGATGGAATCACCACCCTCCCTCTTCTCAGGAAATGTATCTTTTTGAAACTTGTTGAACATTCAAAAACTTGATTCCATGCATGTGGCATACCAACCCTACCCTTTAGTTTCATGTTTACAAACTATTTCAAACACAACGTGGAATATAAAAGCTAATTAACGAAAGAAATACAACTGAAGATATATATATAAGCCCACACATGCATATATATATATATATATATTAATTAATGATTTTGAAGTGAATCTGCATTTAATTATAAGCCCACACATGCATATATATATATATATATATTAATTAATGATTTTGAAGTGAATCTGCATTTAATTATAAGCCCACACATGCATATATATATGCATAAGCATTTATTCTACACTTTCTTCTCCGGTTTTTATTTTACTTACACGTAAACAACGATAATTGAAATTCAAAAGAAAAGAATTTATGTTTGTTTTATTTATAATTAACGACGAGATGAAGATATATATATATATATATATATATATATATATATATATATATATATATAATTTAAGGGGGTATGAGAGCTTGAAGAAGAAGGGCTCAACATTTCCAATTTTGATGTTTTGGGTCCAACTCCAACCCATGACTTCTCGAGCTATGTCATCATGAAGAAGAAGGGCTCAACATTTCGAGATATTTTTGGTGGATTATTGTCGATTTCGAAGGACTTTTTCGATATTTTTGATTGATTTTAAGAGACTTTTTTAATTGATTTGAAGGTATTCTTTCTTGGTTAGTGGGGCAGAGGCAGAAAATTACTAGGGATAGAATGTTATTTTTAACCTATGTAAAAGGGAGGAAAAGAAATTTATTTTTAACCTATGTAAAAGGGGGGAAAAGAAATGAATGGAGGTAAACCACACACACTAAATACTAATTAATAATACACCGAGTAGCGGCTAGCTAATATATGGTTGGTAAACCAAACTTATACATAGCAACTGTTACACATTTGTGTGTATATCACTCATCATTCAGTAAATAATGTATATATTTTGTTTACAAAACTACAAACCCCCACATCCCATTTCCTTAATTAATTTATGCATAAGATTTCTTCAGATTTGTGCAAAAAGAAGTTCATTCCATGTGTCTGGAATGCCTGGTAAGCACCAATGCAAACAATCTTGCATCCCTTGCGTCCCTCTGATACTGTATCTTGATATATGACCTTCTTCTCTTACCTCAGAAAGTCCTGTTATATCCAACAGCTTCACATCTGTTCCCTTCACTGCCCCTGATGCAATTGAATCACTAGACTCGTCTTGTTCAACTTCCACTGATCCAGGGGTGGTGCTATCACATGTACCTCCACTATTCCAATCTCCATTGAAGAAATGCCTGGGTGAAATTGACCTGTAAAATGCCTTCAAACCCCCCTGCTTCTTTAATTCACCATTCACCCAATTTACAATGCTGTATATTGTAAAGTTTTTAGCACCTCCTATTTCTGCAATCCTCCTATTCGTGTTACGCTTCCCACCCACATACATCACCCATCGGTTCCCATTAATCTTCCCTCTGTTCCAGTGATGCCCTGTATTCAGAACAAGCACATGGAATCTGCTCAAGAAACGTTTCAGAAAAGCCGGTGGTCGATCCAGGTGCATTGCATAATAGGTGGTATGGTTGGTGGGGTCTAGTGGCTCCAAGTCACACAGGCTGGCTGACCAATAATAGAGAATTGTAGTGTTAGTCTTCTGGAAACGGTAAGCCCAACCATCCGGCCGAACTGATCCACGAGCTTTCACCAAACCATATTTCTTACCAACATCTTCAACATCATGCCTCTCCTCCCCACCTGTCAGCATGCACATTAGAGATTGGAACTGCTGCCGCCCCAACGAATCCCCCACAAAAGCCACTGTTTTGTCCTGCATTCTGTAATACATCTCAAACATAATCAGCAAAAATGGTGATTTGTATCAAGAAATATTTCAAGAATTTCATTACCATACCTTTTAAGGAATTTAACCCCTGTAAAATCATCCATTTCACAATCTTTTGGCTGCCATTTTAGCTTCTCATAGGCAAAATCTGTTCGCTGTGTCAAACGGCATGCCCACATCCCTGACAACCACTGTTTACAACCAAAACCCGAATACAGAGGCCGATTCTCATCAGTGACCCATCTCCCTTTACCAAAGTTGCAGGCTGGAATACAAGGAAAAAAAACAGACAAAAAGTGAGAAGTAATGAAGGATAACAAACTATACTGTTATCTAATGAATAGATGTAATTAGCTCTATGCTCAGTTTATAAGGCCCTTTTAGTCACCTTCTAGGTTCTGTACTAGTAAGGATAGGAAGGTTGGTTCTACCGTGCAGGCATAGGTTCCTAACTGTATCCACTTCCTTCGTACATTAGCTGCACTAGACTGTTGAACTATAGAGTTTGAGCTGGGAGTTCGGCTAAGGGAAGTGGGGAAGGGAATGAGGAAGAATAAGATGTAGAGATCAAGACATGTCCTGCCAATATCAGGGAAAGAATAGCTCCCGGTATTTTTCTGCTACTGATTTCTGTTTATACACCTATTTTCCAGTAGAAAGGTTCATGTTTCATAAGGGAAGATGGATTATAAAAAGATTAGAAAAAGTAACCAAAAAGGCACTTTTTTGCACTAGCACAAACAAAAAAACAACAGACAGATTGGTTTAAACCATCATTTCAGCTTTATTTAGGATTAAAAGTTCCAGACTTTTAAGACAATGATTAGCCTACTGAAATCACCTTCTGTGTTCATGATCCATAATGCTAGAAAACATGCCTAATCAGCAATGTTGGTTCCTGTTTAGCAGAAAGTTACAGACTGCTTAAAATATGAAGGGAATCCCATGCAAATCATCAATTAACAGAACTGTATGATACACTGGTAGCTAAACATAAAAATGCTACAAAAATGAATGCCAAACTATTAACAAAAATAAGGGTGCTCATGACCGTTGATTGCTTTAATCACAAAGATGCCATCCAGTCATTAAGTGATTTCAGGTATGTTGTATTACATGGAACTTCACCTCACAAAAGAAGGGACAAGATTCTTGTGCTAATCTTCAAGTTTTGAATTATGAAATATAAAAGAAGGTAGCACCTTGCTTTTCCACATTTGACACCGGCACACCAACGCCTTTTCTTTCCACAGCAGAATCTTGTGTCTTAGGAGCCATTGGTTCAACTAACTGCTGTTGTGGTGGCTTTGAGTCGCTGTATCTTTCAGAAACAGAATTTTCAACAAAATTTGTTGTATTTTCTGCATCAATGTGATAGTAACAAGTGTGAAACATAAAACAGGCTGGATCAAATGTAAAATGTTCAAGAAGCACAAACAAAAGTGAAAACCAGCAAGATCAATAAGCTTTGTTTTGTTGCCATGGTTGTTTGTAGAACATACATTGCAGCTGTTTGTTTTATTACTATATATTAACTCATGGTGCGATTCTTAGCGGAAGAAAGATGTCTTACTTTATATAGTCATGCTGTCATTGTTAGAACAGGATAATCAGGGCTTGGCACTAAAGAACACCAAAGTAGGATATAGCCAATTTCTAGATACAAAATTTTATGCCAATTGTCAAGAACCAAGTATTAGCAAATAATCATCCGGAAGGAATTAATTTTGGCTTTCCTTGCAGATGGTTGTGAAGTAAAGTGGTAAACATATCAGCAATTCAGTTCATTTTGGAAGATCTCTGGCGTGGTTATACGATACCTTCTTTTCTGTTTTTTCCTTAAACAAGTGCATATACATCTAATGGTGATTCATTTCTTGGACAAAATTTCGACCTCCCTCGAGACTTCCCAAAACATTTCGCAAGCCAGGATCCTCACGTACACAACCTCTCTACTCCTTGGGGTAGAGCAAAGGAATGTGCTCATCTTACATCCCAGACCTCACTTCCGTGTGAGATATATTGGATATTGATTTAGTATTTTGTTGCCACAGTTGTACGAATAACCCTCCTTGCTTAAGCTTAAATTATGAAATATAAAAGAAAGTACAACGTACCTTGCTTTTCCACATTTGTCATCGGCACGCCATCAGCTTCTCTTCCCGAAGCTGAATCTAGTTTCTTAGGAGTCATTGGTTCTACTAACTGCTGTTTTGGTGGTTTTGAGTCATTGTGTCTTTCAGATACTTCACCCGAAACAGGTTTTCCAACCCTGCTCGTAGTATTTTCTGCACCAACATGATGGGAACAAATGTGAAACATATGACATGCAGGTTAAAATGTATAATGTTTAAGAAGCACTAATAAAAGTGAGATCAGCTAATTGTTTGCTTTTAAGTTTTGTTTTGTTATCACAGTTGTAATGAATGATCACCCTCTACGATTGCTCAAGTCATATAGGTTTGGTTGATACTTCTCCTTTCCCCACCAATATGGTCAATACTTGAGATTGTCTAAGCAATTCCGCAACCACCTAACACATTTTTCTTCTATTATGTCTTAAAAGCTTGGTTGATCTCGTCCAAGCTCAAAATTTCTTCCATCACTACCTCTTATGATAAATATTTAAAAGATAAAAAACCAAAATAAAGCAAAAGATTCAATCAGAAAATTAAAAATATATCTTAATTTCTTTGATTGTCATTGTTGTTTATCCAAAACATCTGTTCACCGGGTAAGAGAGAAATGACTAACATGCAAGAAAATTTCTACCATGGTGCTTTTCCTGAGCAGTCATTGAATATTTATCCCCTCGAATATCCGAAGAGGGTGTATTTATGGAACTTAATGGCGATACTGAATCCACAACTCCATTCCCTCGAATGTCCAAAGGGGGTTTGTTTCTGGAGCTTGGTGGAGATACTAAATTCACAACTCCATCAGCTTCTGTTAAATCGTCTACTTGCTTTACTTTTACTTCTCCAGCTGCCATCACAATAAAGTTCAACAATTAGCTAAACAAGGTGTCAGAGCACATTGTAATGCATACAAAGTATTTTCGATACACTGCTTCACCGCAGGAATATCTTTTAAGATGTTAGACATTGCAAATAAACTCTGAAGTCTTAGACAGTCAAATACACATCATGAAAATAAACTCATCTAGACTATCATGGTGAATATTCCAAATGAAAGAAGTCCCAAAATATAAACATGATATTGCCATACATGAACTTTAATATGTATTGTGCTATTTGTCCTAGTTACCGACTCTTTTTCCTTTTTCTGTTTCCTTTTTTATGTGGATTGCGATGCTTTGTGAAAGAAACTTCCTCTATGATATTCCTACTACCAACCAAGATGCAGACAGAGGGAACATCAGCCTTTGTTCATAGAACTTGCATCAAGAAGGCGTAAGAAGTTGGGGGTTATACCAAATATACCCCCAAGGTAGCAGAAAATTAAGACATCAAAGACCAGAATATAAGAAAGAAAATGATCACCCCATCTAAGTTGAGTTATAGCTTCAACAAGCACTACCTAGTTTTGGGCATAGATTTTGTGGAGTTCCACCCTCTTAACCTAATACCCCGATTACTAAATGTTGTTGATAAAGAGGTAGATGTGCCTTATCCCATGAAGCAACAAAATTCAAGCAAATACTTGTGCTATCAACTATCCTGGAAACATCTACCATAGTTCATAATCTAAACAAGCCAAAAACACACTCTTTTAGAAGCCTTTTAATGGTTTTCCAACTATTTTTGCACTTTATGGCATATGTTTTCTCTCTTGAATTTTTTGTGGCTAATACCATCTGATTAAAACAAACATAACAAGCTGAACGAGGTGAGATGCATATGAAGAGAAACCTGGAAAAAGCTGCAACACTTGACCGTGAGATGGAAGTAAGGTTGTGAGAAGGGGGGTTTTCTCCCAATACCAAACAACAATGGTCGTAAGAACAACACCGATGAAGAAGAGAGACAGCTGCTTCGTTCTCCGTTCATAGAAGTAGCCTCCCCCTCCTCCTTTCATCGTTGTAACACACTTTGTACAACTGTTAAACCAACAACAGAAGTTCTAGTTCTTTGCCAATGTCATTGGGCTCAGATTGATGTCTGCAACACATTAAGCACGATTAAAAGATTTGGAGAAGTTGACATCTTCAAAAACAAGTAACCATGTATGGATCTACAATTATGTACGCCAGCCATACAAAAAAGAAGAAAAATACAAACAACCTATCCACAATTCTACTCCTGCAAACATATGTCCTTCCATCAGATGAAATCATACAATTGGAGTCGATGAGACATGTGGGGATCAGATTCAGAGGTATAAAGTAGAAAACAGGAGGCCCGCAATTGAAATGCTAGTTAATTTAAGTTGGATCGTAATAAGAATCTATGGATCTAAAGCTAAAGCAATACAAGGGGTGATGAAACAAAGTCTTACAGCAGCATTCCTGTGACAAAATGAAATCTTTGTTTCGGAAGAAAAGTAAGAAAAGACATGAGTCATGAAATGATGTATACGTAGAGAAGAGTGAAAAGGCAGGCATACAGTTGGTATGGTTAGTCTTTTAAATGCAAATCAAGGAATTACGTACCGGAAATGGAGTTGAGTCTGTAAAGAATGGAAGAAGGAAGAAAATGAAAGCAATCTGGGGGTTTTGATGAAGATGAAGATATATATATATATATATAGAGAGAGAGAGAGAGAGAGAGAGAGAGAGAGAGAGAGAGAAATCCCTCGGTTCTTTTGGCTCTCGTCTCCTCGACTCAACCACCACCACCAGCAGGCACCAGACCAGTTGTTTCTTTTGGGCATAAAATAATTCTGATTGGGTTGGGCCTATTTTGGAAATACCCAATCCCTAAATGGACTTCTTCTTCATGTTTTTTATTTTATGGAAAATAAATTAATTTCTTGTCTACTCCTTCTTATAAAAATCCATTTTTATCTCCTTTTTAGCATTTTATTGTTTTTCATTTATTTTGTTTTTAATAAACCTATAATCACAAAATAAGTGATTCAAAAAATATGTATATAAATTAATTTTGTATCAGTTTTTGTGTCTTGTAGTCTTTTCTATTATGTTTTAATAGATTTAATTATTACATAAATATATATATATATATATATATATATATGGCTCAATTGTAATTTTCACTTTGATGCAGAATTATTAACGATTGTTTGTTGATTACCGAATGGTTTGATACAAAATTATTAAAACGTTCTTATGATACAGTATAAAATGAAGTATAATAATTGTTTGGTATTTTTAAACATACATATACATATATAAGAATAATTAAAAAGAAAAAAAGGATTTTATATTTGAGAAAATTAAGTTGCAAGTTAAACATAAGTAAAAGCAATAGGGCTCCTGACTTCCTTTTTACCTTTCTTCCAACTTATCCATCCAAATGAATTCCCATGTCTTGTATTCTTATTTTTTGACACAAATGTAGCCGTATACCTCAACCTTTGTCCCACCTTGTTAAAAACAAGCCTTCTTGGTTTCACACTAACTTCCACACCTTGTGGTACATCCACCGCCACCTTGTAAACCGATTTCGCCGCCCCAACGTTTGTCAACTTACGCGTATACCTCACCACTCTCGAATTCGATGATTTCCCAAAAACAATAGAGAAAGAAGGGTAGTTCAGTTGACCAGGGTCCCTATATCTCTTGGTACAACTCGTTACATTGGCAACAGCTGCTACTTGCTTCATGGTGTATCCCAAGGAACATACCAAGCCAATATACTCTTTGGTCGATATATCATACACAAGCCCCGGAGACATGGCCTTGTGTGGCTCCACATGACCTGCTCCATGGGCCCATGGGGTAGACAATCCACCTCCCGCCGCATCATGTAGCGTTGAGTTCAAGTTGTCAACTGTGTAGGCCGTGGTCATGAGGGCCGACTTGATGGCGCTTGGACTCCATTCTGGATGTGCTGCTTTTAGCAGTGCTGCTACCCCGCTGATATGTGGGCAAGACATGGATGTACCTGCAAAAGAGTCATTGGTATCCGGTCAAGGGTTTAAATCTTCCCAAACTTCAAGAGCACGTATTTATAGTGGTTTATGTACCCGATACTATGTTGAACCGAGTTTTTCGGGTATCCATTTCCAAGTTGGTGGGTCCAATAGCGTCTGGCCATCCAGCCAAGATGTTGAGTCCAGGCCCAATTACATCTGGCTTCAATATTTCGGGCGTCATCTTATTCGGCCCCCTGGAACTAAACGCCGCCACCACCGGCGATGGCTTCACCCCCAACACCGTCCCACCAAACCTCAGCACCACTCTCGGTTTTGCCTCTCTTTTCAAGTACTCCCTAATCTCATCCCCACCCTTCTTCCCCACCGCCACCGCCGGTAACAAATGGCTGTCTCCCACCAATTCTTCCCCACTCTCCGCCGTATTTGCCAGTATCATACCAATCCCGCCGGCTTGCTTCACCACCATACCCTTCTCCGTTCGTGGGTTCACTCCCCTATCACACAAAACAACCTTACCACGTACCAGATCCGGTTGAAGTGAATCCGTTAAACACAAATTACGCGTATTATTATTATTCCACTCACCACTCTGATAAACCAGCTCCACCGGCCCATCACCCATACCGTTCCCGCTATACAACGATACGCCGGTGACCCGTTTTCCATTTCCCAGATCGACATAAGCAGGGAAATCACGGTCTAGAGTCCCTGCACCGACGGTCATTATCCATGGAGCCGCGTTCGCAACTGACGCCTTCGCCGGCCCCGAGTTTCCTGCTGAACACGACACGAACACACCCATTTGCATCGCCTTAAACGCGCCGATCGCAATCGAGTCTTCGTAATAAGGCTTGGAACCACCGCCAATAGACATAGATAACACATCAACGCCATCGGAGATAGCTTTATCCATAGCAGCAAGGATGTCTGAACCGAGACAGCCCAATTTCCAACAGACTTTATAAGTAGCAACCCTCGCATGGACAGCGATTCCACGTGCCGTGCCGCTAGCATACCCAAACAGACTAGCATTGCCAACTTGAGATCCGGCGGCCGTAGTCGATGTATGTGTGCCGTGACCGTCGTGGTCACGTGGTGAGAATTTTTCAGTCGTATCCTCTCGTAGTTTTGTTGCCATACTAAACCCTTTGTAAAACGTCCGAGCACCTATCAGTTTCTTATTGCATAATGTTCCCTTGAAATCTTCGCCTTCTTCGCACTCACCGCGCCACCTAGTCGGCACGGCGGGCATCCCGGAGTCGTCGAAGCTCTTCAATTCCGGCCAAACTCCGGTATCAAGGACACCGATGATGACGTCACTGATAGGACGGTTGAGTTGTTGTTGAGACGTCTGAGCAGACAAGAAAGGCAACTGGTTATCAATCCCTAAAAAGTGAGGAGTACGAGTGGTGTGAAGGTGGTAAAGAGTATCAGGGTAAACTCCAAGGATGGAATCTGATCCCCGTAGGGTTTGAGCCTGTTGAGGATCTAAGTAGGCAGCGTAGCCGTTGTAGGCGGTGGTGTAAGAGTAGAGAAGGGCGTGAGGGGGGGCGGAGGTGAGTGATTGCAGGTGGTGGGAGTACCAGTGGTGATGGGAGAGGAATGAGGTGGGTTTTTGATGATGGTTGATTTGGACAATGTAGGTTTGCTTGGAGGTGGTGATAGAGGAGGATGGGTGAAGGATGCATGCCAACAAACATAGCCATAGCAAAGACACCATGGTTATTATGTAACGGAGATTGGAGAAGGAGGGGTGTCGTATGGTATATATATATATAAAGAAAAGCCTAATTGTCCTTTTTTCTACCAAAATTTGTTTCTTTTTTGCACCTGACCCACATGACTTTGACTTCAAATATACTATCGTATCGATTACACCCTCCCTCCCTCTATCCACTTTATTTTATTTTATTTGTATTTTAATTTTAATTTTATGCATTTTTTATTTGTTTGAGTATTTAGGATGAATTATCATCTAATATGAAGAAAAAAAAAAATAACAAATTATTTTATTTTAACAAAGTTTCTTTTAAATGAAGAAAATATTATTATCACGAAAAAATAAATAGTTTTTATTATGAATAAAAACCTTAAGGTTAAATATTTGTAATAAATAAATAATATTTTATTATACATATAAAAAATTTAAATTACAACATCTAAAATATAGAATTTGTTGAAAACATAAAACAATCTTTAATTTTACAAATACAATAAATTACGAGTGAGGGGTATGAAGTGAAGTGAAGTGAAGTGAAGTGAAGTGAGGGTTGTGTTGATAAGAAAAGGGTTTAGATTTAGCTCAAATGGAGATTTGTTGATAAACATTGACATTAATTGGTTTGAAAATGAAAAGTTGCATTTTCATTTTAAATTACATAAACAGGTAGCCTTATATTATTTTAACAATTAATTAGTTCAAAACTTAAATTTTAGTGTTATTAATAAAACTTTAGTATTTGAAGTTAACATGGTTCTGAAAAAGGTAATCTACACCCTTCATAATCTATTCTATTTTGTTTTAATAACAATTATTTTAATTACGTATGAAATAATTAAGATTTGAATTCTTTTAAAATAACCGAATGAGTGATTTCATATGTAAGAGCAGCATTTCCAACAAATTCCTTAAATGAAGAATCAAAAGTTTTAAAAAGAATTTACATTTATCTTCAACAGATTTTCTTCATTTTTAAGACTTCAACATTGATAATAACATTAAAATATTTATTCTCAAAGTTTTTTTTTTTTTTTTATTAATGCTCTCATTTGATTGAGATGATCTTTATATTTGGAGAAAGAACTTTTCTCTTTCTTATTTTCTCAGATAATTAAAAAATAAAAAATAAAAACTTTCCCAATTTTAATTAAAGAAGATAACCTTGAAAATGTCAAAAAAGTTTTCATCTGAATTTGTAAGGGAATTAGTCACATGTTATGTCTTGCCTCCCAACAAGCTTTTGTCTCTATTGTCCCATTTTCCGTTTTTATTTATTTATTTATTTCATAAGTGATTTTAAAAAATATATAATAAAAAATTAATGACGTCACAAAAAATAGGTTTTTTTTTTTTTTTTGAAAGGGTATCCGAGCCAAAGCTCGACTAATCCCAGGCACATCCAGGGCTAAAGCATGCCCCTTTGGTAAATGTCGCACAGGATGTGCGTAGAGGGATTCGAACCCGGGTTCAGCGCTATGAACTGCCCAGGCACTAACCACTCCACCACAACACTGATTGACCAAAAAAAATATTAAAAAAAAATAGGTTATTGTTAGTCATTTCCTAAGGTTTTTTGTTTAATGAATGGCTAATATTAATAATATGACAAAGAAATAATACACGAATGTTCTTAACTACAAATCTCTAGTTTTTGCCATTCCCACCCACGAACTCATGTGTAACAACATAATTAAACACATATCTAAGTAGAAACTTTTTAACTCGTTTATGTTTTTATAATTAATTAAATATTATGTTTAATATTTTATAAGGACATTTTTGACGTTGGTTTTATATTGGACAGCCGTGGTGGTGTCAATTTTTGGTTTATATTTACACTGTTGTTGTGTATAATTTGTGCATGGGAAAATTTTGCATCTATTTGTCGGATAACAAATATTGATGTTTAATTTGGTTGTTAAAATTGACTAATAGTTGTAAACATTTGTTATGGGGAGAACAGGACGACGAAGATGCAAATGAGGGAGCAGGTTCTTGTGTGTGTGGGAAGAGAGGGTTCACTGGAGGCAGGGGAGGGAGACTTGCTTAATATAGCCTTTCTGACAATTATTAGTGCCAAATATGATCAAAATCCACAAGAAGCATTTTGTAAATTTTAAATTATATGGACTAAACCCACAATATCTGCCAATCATAAGGATGAAATCTGTAGTTAACTCATGGATTTACTTTGAACTTCATGATTTTATATTGTTGAATTTATATTGTGCACAAATCGGATAAGTCGCAATACAAATTTGTAGTGTGATTTTGGGAAAATGCTCAAATTGTATGCATATTGCAGTTTTTGGCCCTAAATTGCATGTAACACCCACAATTCTTCATATTTATTTTCAAACTAGAACCGTTGGATTTTATCGTATTTCGTTTGTAATGTCAAGTTATTAGTGGTTTAATGTCGCTGTTATGACCCTATATTGCTTTGGTAGTTCTAAGATTAGAAAATGATGAAATTTTGGAATCCCAGTGTTCCGGGCGACTTCCGGCACGACTAAAGCCACGGGAAAGGTCGCCTAAACTTCTATTTGGTCGACCACTTAGTGTAACTCATAAAAGGAATTTTGGAGTCGGGGCCACTATTAAGGCGACGTTATAAGTCGCGCTGCTTGGCTATGAGTGTGTGCGGGTATGAGGCCGAAGGTGTGTGGTTGCACGGGGTCAAGAGGGTTGGGCGACCTTGTCGCGGGCCGCTTGGAGGCCACCTTACAATTCTGTGAGGGTGTATGTCGCGGGACGCCCTGGTAGGTGAGGTAAAGGTCGGGCGGCTAGGGGCCGGGAAACCTAAGCCGCCCCATATGTAGCTCGAGCTTTTATTTGCCTTCTACTGATCCAGTCGTGTTTCCTTGGGAATAACCACCATCTTGCTTCATCTACTTCTCATTTACTCCTCGTATTTCTCTTTCTCTCTCTCTCTCTCTCTCTCTCTCTCTCTCTCCATTTATTAAATTTCAATTTAGAGTTCCTTTAAGGAGATTTCTCCATAAGTTATTGTGCATTAAAGGAATCTAGAAGGAAGCTTCAAGTGTGGATCCAAGCGTCCAAGTTATTCTCCATTTTCTAGGGTTTCACCAAGACCTAGTATTGTGAATTCATCATATACCTTATTTAAGCTATATACATATTAAAATGATGTAATTTAGTTCTTTAAAGCTTCTATTTCATATATTTCACAATTGGATGATTTTGGACCAACGTGGGCTCCATATTTGATGCTTCTTGATAAAATAAGTGTGGAGATGATGTTATATACATTGGGGATGATTACTTAAAAGTTTGTATCATTGATTTTATTGGTAAAATGTAGTTTTACTCATGTCGATGGTTATTTATGTGTACAAACGATGATATGTGGAGTTGAGATGATGTATTTAGAAGGTCTTGTACATTAGACTAAAATGCAATGAATCCATAGACTTAGAAGTCGGGTTTTAGTTGGGATGATTATCCACACTTGTAACTTGAATTAGGCATTATGTCTTCAAAGGCAATAAGGTGTAGACTCTTGGAGTTGGGCATCGGGCAATGACCAACCCAACATGATCTCTAAGTGAGCGAGCTTAACTTGGATTTTGGAGATATAAATGTGTATAGACCTAGCCTGGTTGAACTTGATATCCCCACAAACGATGGACTTGGAGTAGTTGAGCTTGTTAACTCATTAAACTATAGACCTTGAATGGTTGATCTTAACGATTGTTGGTCCGTGTGTGATTCTTATATAACATTGAAACGTGGTTTATATTTGTATTTTGTCACTGTCAATGGTAAATCGGGTCTCTCTATGATGTTTTTTACGTCATTTCAAGAGTAAATATGATTTTTATTATATAAATGATCATGCTTTGAAGCTATGTTGTTAGTTTTAATGTTTTATAGCTTTATTCAATGAAAACATTTTCCAGCTTCATGGTTACAACTTACAAGTAAGTGTGGAGCAGTGGAGATTTAATTGAATTGAGTTGAACAAGGAGAGAAGAATAAGTAAAAGAAATGGTGAAATGACCATGTTTCGATCCATAGAAAAATATCATCTTACAAGGAAATTTGTATTTAATATTTATGTCACTCTCACCTTCTGCTGACCATCATCCCGTCCGTCTCTTCTTCCAGCAACCTGAAAACCCTAGAAAGATCATGTCTTCCGACCACCACAATAATCATCTGTATGTTGTCTTTTCTATTCACACCTAAATCTAGTCTGTCTCTTTCGCATTGTTTTCTGTAACAATTGCTTATTCATTCCCCTTCCTCATCATTTCCAGTTTTCTTGACTTTTACTAATATTGCATTTGAAGTTATCCGGTATCAGTTCTAAGCCATTTATTTTTAGAATCCAAGGTTTAAAATTAACATTAACATACTCCTGTTGGTCTTAAGTTTCTTTCTTATGGCTTTACTTGCATCAATGGGAACTCATGTACCTTTAAAGCATCTCTCTTACTGCAATAAGAGATAAAAGCAGTGCGCAACATGTCCAAGAAATCATTCAACATATACAGCAAGAAGGAACAGAAAGGAGGAACAAGTACGATGACATATCAACTGATACATAAAGGGTTGATTTATTAGTGATTTGTAGTCATACTACCATCTAGTCTGGGCTTGCTTATTTAGTTTGCATCCTCCCTTCTCAAAATAAGCTTGCAAAACAACATTTCTACCCTTCTATACATGTTTGCATATCAGAATGGCCTACTTCCCTCAGGCATTATCTTCCTTAATCAACCTGTCCTTTAAAGTTCCCAATGCACCATATTTAGCTTTCCAAGTGGCCAATGATTATGGGCAGCCTCCACATCTGAATCCAAACTGTCCATGTGCTGAATAAGCTTCACAAAGCTACCATCATATCATCCTCTTCCACCATAGTCACCTTACACAAAATGTCTAGTCCAAGGGATATTTTACTGAATTGATGTTATAACATCAGGATTGCTGTTATGAAAATCTTGCCATAAAGACAACTCCTCAATTTCTTATGTTGGTAATGACTAGTAGAACCGATGATCATTGCATATATGTGCTGCTGTATGCATATCGGATGTTGCATCATCTATGCAAAACTTAAGCAATTCGCACTAATTTGTACCGAGGATTTGTTTCTTCATTTGCTATAGATTTCTTGACGTATCGAACGAGGCTCCTTTATGTGGACAGCGAAAGCGTACAGGCATTGTTGGTAGCATTTTTTACTGCCTACTTTTGGCAAGTATATTATCCTGTTTCTTTAATAATAGATCAAATTTATGGAAACCACCAAATTTGATCACCAAATTCACCAATTTTCATTTTCTGAAGAGAGTGTCATTGTGACGACCTGTGTCAATGCATCCGTTTATCGATTCTATTCTATAAAAAAGACTGAGTTTGATGATAATCTGTGGTGGTTGCATAGATTTTTCTGTGATAAAATATCAAGGATTTTAGAACAATGGTTTTTGTAAGAAATTAGGCTTAATTTCTTTTATTCTAGTCAGGTTATGCTGCATTGTCTGTAGGAGCTCCATGGATCTTCAGGTTCAAGCAACACTTGATATCACAGTGGCTCTGTACCTCTGATGTTGTTCTTTTGGCAGTCACAGGTTATTATTAGATTCTACTTTTACTATCTGTATGCTCTGGTGATGACTTGGCTTTTTCTGCTTCGTTTGACATCATGATATTATTTGTTGATATTCTGAGCTGACTTTTATTCAGTACACCTTCGTCACATTTTATGTTGTAATGTTCACACATCTTTAGGCAGTCTCAAGTCTGTATTTCTATTTATTTTGGAAATCAGTTCTTCTTAACAGTTATTTTCCTTGCAGGCGTCTTCCAGCAATACATGGTTTACCAAGTCAAGAAAATAAGATTACAGGTTATATAGTATTGTTCAAAATTTCACTGAGATATTCCTTGAATATGCTTATGCTAATTCCCAACTGTCATTCATTGTTATGAAGAATTTAAGTTTTCTTATTTTCATGTAGCAAATAGATTTTATTTTCATCTGAGACTTAATCACTCATGAAATTTTTGACGAGATTTAGGCTTGAATTAGTAAATGATGGTGCCTTATGGATTGGTGAAACATGTTAATGGATGTTTCAGAATTTTAAACTCTTAAGGTCTAGAATAAGTACACAGTTCACTTTAGTTCACCAAAGTCTCACTTTTGAGAGCTGAACATGTAATCACAAAATTACCTATTTGTTTGTCAACATTTGTTTGTTATTGTTTTCTATGAGGTACCAACTGGTGGTCAGATTACATGCTTTCTTCTTATACATAATCATAACATTGATTTTCATCATGTAGGGTTACTATATTTTTAGTCAAAAGTTGAAGCATGTTATTCGTCTGCCATTTGCCACTATTACATATGGTATGTATATTTTTATTGTAACATTGCTATAAAGCTTTTGTTTTGGTTCTTGATGCTCTTGTGTATGATATGCATATCCTTATTATGACATTCCTGTAAAGCTTGTTCTGATCCTTGATGCTCTTGTATATGGTATGCATATCTTTATTGCAACATTTCTGTAAAGCTTGTTTTGATTCTTGATGTTCTCGTATCTGTGTTCATAGGTTCAAATATTGGATTGCATGAAAATACTACAACTAGGAGTGAAAATTCAATGTCAAAAGCAATTTGGAAGCCTGGGAAAGACCAAAAACGATTTGGATGATAATTTACAAGATAACCAATCATGGATTTCATGAAAGTATTGCTTTGACAGAATTGCATATCTAGCATAATAATAATAAATAGCCCAAACAGTAAGGGCTTATTCCCATTCAAGTAATAATAGTCCCCTTGTGAATCACAACAACAAACTAGACTTGATGCCTCCATGGTATCCATGCGAACAATCTGAATTCTTTGCCTTCTCTAGATGCTAGTCACTTCAAAACTTGGAAAAAAAGGGAGCATATGTTGTAGGTGATTTCTAGAGAGAATATTGTAAGAGCAAGAATTGCATAAAATGTCATACATTTTATAGTTATAAGAGGTAAGGCCTAAAACCACCACAATCCCTACCTTACTTGAGTGTGAGACTTGCCAAACACCATCCCTCTCCTTTTAAGACCATCCCTTGCCAACCTACATTATGTGTCCAACATAAAATAATATCTGATTTTGATTTAATCAAATTAAATCAATACAAATAAGATATAATAATTAAACATTTTAATTATTGAAACTCCTTATTCAGATATGTTCAAAGCGTGCGACCCAATGGGTTCGACACATGTTGGTAATAAATATAAATCTCTATTTATATTATAAACAACAAGCGGTATCTAGCATTACATCATCGCCACCCAAATGAAGAGAATTGGTGATACAACAAATTATCGGTTTGTAGTCGATTTTAGTTTACACATTTAATTCGTTTCTCCTTGATGTCGAGATTGAACACGAGACATTGAATGTATCATTCTCATTATGTCCAATCTCTAGTTTCTTGATTCCTTAATATACTAATAAAACATATCTTATGACATTTCATATCAATTATCTGAGCATGCATTTCCTTAGTATATATTTATCAAGGGACCCAGGGACATCACTCCCGTCATAAAGGAGTGCCAAATCCTATTTCGATAGATGCTAGTTCTACCTTGTGATATATAAAATACCCAACAATCATTCTGTCACCCAGTTAAGGAATGATTAGAATAAATATCAAAATACGTCACTAACACACAACAAACTCCATGTTCTCAAGTCAAAGAATTACATGTACATTGACCACATGAGAAACACTTTTTATGACACTCACATGACATCCAATGCAGTGTTCTCACAGCGAGTCATGTCCAGTACACAAAATCTCCATCTTGTACCCATATACGGATTCAATATCTCTATATGAAACCCTATATATGCTAGTCATTATCGTATTACTTCAACCTTAAACCCGAAATAATATTTAACTATGGACATTTAGAATACATTATTCTAAGGTTATTTATTATGAATAATTAAAACACAAAATATAATATCGAGACAATAAAATGGGCAATGCCTTTTATTTATTTTATTAATTTCATGAAACAAAACTCAAACTTACAATCATCATATGATTGGTTTTTGGGCATTCACTACAGTTGATTCTTGATCCATTGGTAAAAGACATGGTATTATTTATATATTTTAGCACTAGATGGGAAATACTTTTAAAACAAATAAATAAAGCTTTAGAGGCACAAATTCTCAAGGTGATAGCGAAGCAATCTGATCAACAATATTTATAAGGTAGAACTAAGATTTTTCTAACACCATTCGTACAGCCAGACTCATGTAACAGCCAAACGAAACTATCTTGAAGAAGCTGACACTAGTTCTAAAAATATATACTTTCAGCTGGTGTATTTTTTTAAATCATTAGAAGCAAATCTTCTGAATAAGCGAACAAAGAAACAGACTACATTTTCTATCTAAAAATAAGAAAATGGATCATATCCTTTTTATTTTGTATGAAATTTTTGGTTTCTATTGGTGCAAGTCCTTTCAATCAAGATTATGATGGAGGACATAGCTTACAATCATGGCTTTGATCAAGCATCTGATAGGAGATTTCACCGTGGTCTGAACATTTTGTCAACGACTTGATAGTGCTAGCTTTTAAAATGCACGATTCAGTGAAATTAATCCTCCCCAAAGACTTAAGAAAGTAAAGCCCTATCTGGTATTTACAACCAGTCTAGATAGTGTGTTTTTTTGTCATTGGATTGACGATCTAAGGTACAAGATAGGTTGGATGGGACCTTTCATCTACTGCAAGGTGCGGTATATATGACCAGAAGGCAGAAACATAAAAAAAAAAGTTGAGAAGCAAACGATGTATCCAAAATGAGGATACAAAAGCTTGTATGATGGAACAACATTAAAATATTATATATATATATATATATATATATATATATATATATATCTGCCACCTTGCATTGAAATTCGGAAACAGCCTCTCTATCCTAGTGGTTGAGGTAAGGTTTGCGTATATCCTACCCCTCCGAGACCCTATTTTCGAGTGGGCTATACTGGGTTGGTTTGGTTTATATACACACACACACATATTGTTCCAATCAATATATCCACGTCTACTTTCTGTACAGTGTACACTATTGTAGTAGTAATAGTCTTTTGGAACTATATTTGTTACCAGTAGATCTGAGTCAACAACTTCATTTTGAATCTAGGTACTGCTGCGATTCTACTTGTCATGGTTTGGGAACCCCATATAAGTATTCTTCCAATTGTTATGTTACTCAGGTAACTCTTCTTCTGATATTAGACGCTGAAACTCTAATTCAATATTTAGTGTTTGAAGTTTATTCATACACATCCTCAATACTTTTTATGATTGGAGTTTGGGAAAATATTGTAGAGATATGTCTCTTGATATTCTTCCATGCTCTAGTTTCAGTTGAGTTCATATTATTGTTGATTTGCTCCTTTATGCTAACATTACCTCAAAGTCTAAATATAATTCAACTTTCATGCAAACTGTTCAAATTGTGTGATTCCAAGGTTACATTAGAACTTCTATCGAATCATCTTGTAGTATGACAGAATTGTTGAAAATTAGGATAGGTTAATTTCCAGGACTCTCAACTAAAAAAGACGTAGTGCATTCCCTGCTTAATTGTAATATTACCCTTTTTTGTGAAGTATCATGATGCAAAACCCTGAACACTAAAATAGACTTTATTATCCTTTTCATATCAGTATGGAAAATAGTATTATAGATTTATATCACAATTGGCTAAGGGGCAAGCCCAAACAACATAGCCATCTATTGCTCAGTCCAGTCAGCCAAAAGAAGAGATACTTGGCATCAGAAAAGAAATTTCATACTTGGTGGACCTTGCTTGTTCAAAGACCGTTCGATGTTCACATAACTGCTCGAGTAAAATAGACTAACCACCCTTTTAAGCTACTATGCATCATGTTTCAGACTTCGCCAGATCTCCCTCCACTGTATTTCTTTCTATTGTTGAAGGCAAGGCCTTTAACTAATCTTTAGAAGTTTATTTAAGTGTATCAGAGGACAAATTTTACAGTTAATTTGGGAAATAAGGAATAAAAAGCAAGGTATGCAATGAACTTGACTAATTTGTAAGCTTTTGAATCACACTAAATAATGTTATATTAGCTATAGGACAGTTCCGAAAAGTAATACACTTATGGATATGAGGTTGCTTGAACAAGTAAAAAAGCTATAAAGCCTGCGGGTAACTTAATTGATTTTCTTTTCTGCAATGATCTCCTCTAGGACTTTCTTAGCTTCGTTATAATTTCAGGATAATCATGGTGGCTGAAGTTATCTTCGCTGGCTCTTTCATGAGTGTCTATATTGGTGAGTTGTCATTCATACCTTGGTGAAGTGTAAGCCTTTGTCATTGAGTTTTGCAGTAAGTAATGATGGTGTTTACAGAAGTGCTTTCTGCTTTTGGTACTCATTCTTTTAGTATCATCACTATCAAGTGATATGATGTTAGAGATTCAGAGTCTATATAACGTAATTTTCACTTCAAACATATTCATGTTCCGTTTCAAGTGGGCATTTAAAATTGAATGTTAACCAAATTGTTCTGTTCTACTTATCCACCAGGCCACTAATGATCTGATGTTACATACTTCTGTAATTGGGGCTTCTACCTTCAAGACTGGATTTCTATTCTGTTAAAGTTTATGGTACTTCTCTGTTTGGTATTACTATTTAACTATTTAACTGCCACCTGCAGGTAATGTTCACCAGTACAATTCATTGGAATCCCATCCAGATGTTTTAAAATCACTGTATTCTCCCCTACAACCATCAAGCTCCTTAGAAGGGTTGAGGTAGTGATGCATCTATGAGTTTACCTCCTTCGTTCTTGATTTAAACTTGTTTAAAAAATTATTTAGTTCTTTTCCCATATCTTTCTGTTTACATAACTGTTAGTTATTTAGAAGAACTCAGCACATACAAGGCACTATGCCTTTATATATATAGTTCATGTATTTACTTTTCACCTCCATGGATGAAATATTTCATAGTTCCTTCCCCTGTGTGATGATTCACTTAGTCATTGCAAATAATCAATGTTCTTTTTACATATTTCTTAAAAATTATGAACGTTTAAGGTATGACATCTTATATATACTTTTATCTAATGCTTAATCTTTCCTGAACATAGTTCCTGCATGCACAAACTATACATTATCGTTATGTAAATAAAGATTTCCTCGATTTTGGAGTGCTTTTACCTTGTGAGTAAAAGGAAGATTATATGATTTGCCTCAAGACATTGCCTATAGCTGAAGTATTTACACTTGGAATAATCAAGATACAATTCAAAAGGAGATATCGAGTGTCAAACAGTAGATAGAGGTAATACGGGGCGTAGAGATATTGTTAATGAATGTTCAAGCATGTTTCTCTAGGTAATCACCATAACTCATGTTATTGAATGTTACAATGTTTATGAAGAGGGCATTTAGTACTTCAAGGAGCGGTATGATCTGCTTATTGTGTATTTTCAGGAAAAGTTACGTTGATGTTTCCAAGTCTAATGCATCAACTAAATCTTTGATGGTTGAACCTGACATAGGAGGAAAGCAACTAGATTCCTTTTAGTAGATGATAAAAAAGTAACACACTTCTAGAGGGAAATAATATATTTTTGAATAGCTTTGAAGAATACATAAAGGACACTGCCACAAATGGCAGGTCGGACAAAATCTTCAGAAAGTAAAATCATAATAGCATGTGAATGCCACATGATTTAATGATTTAAAAAATAAAAGAAGGCTGCATGTAAATTGGGTTTAAGGCTAATTTAAAATCAGGGACTTAAATGGACTTTGGGCCTGAAAGCGGGTAGCTGCTTTGCCCACACGTGCTCGTTGTTGAGAGATTTCCATTGGTTTGTTGCAGGCCCTGTAGTTCTGCTCAATTTGCATGTTATGGTTATTTGAAGTTGATGCCTTTTCCTGTGCGCTTCTCACCTCCATGAATGAATTACTCAACTGCTCAATCTGTTCCTCATCAGAACTATATTGAGCTTTTGTATCTGCTTCAGTGACTATAAGGGTCCGGAATCGGGGTAAGAGATGAGGAGAATTTCAGAGTTAGGAAAAGTGAATAATAAATGCTACCCTCTCTTTGCTAACAAGAACGATGATTTTGGGTGCTTCAGGGTTTCCTTCTCTCACAAGCTCTTTTGTTTTCACATAAAGAAATCTGGCTCATGTATTATTGAGTACATCCTGCCAAGGAGAGTTTAGCAATTATTATAGGTTGAAGGGAGTATTTAGGACATGCCTTTGTCAACTGAAGTAGATTTTGGTTAGATAGATGAATATTGCATGAGAATAGGAAAAACTAGAATCATAATATATGTCAACAATGAGAACTCAAGTTAATTCTTTTCAGCACTTGTTTTTCTTCCAGCGAGAGTACTGAATAGATTACTGATATGGTTATGTTTGCATGACAGTTATTATGATGGTGGTCGACTCTCTGATCAACAAATGGCTTTGCTACAGTATCAGCAAGAAAACCTTAACTTTCTGAGTGAAGAGGTAAACAATGACCAAAAGTTTTGCAATTAAAAACGGCTGTATTCTTATATTTCTTAGTTGCAGATGCTTTGATTCTAGAATCAGGCAATTCAAAATGACCTATGGTCGACCTGACCATATGTATATAAGGAATACTAGAGAAATAGAAAAGTGAAAAACCAGAGTCTTGTTGGGGGTCTTGTTTGCTCTTACTCTTCCCCGCTTCCTTGCATGTGTAACTTGATAGGATATTTTTTGGAGTGATTGTGATATGAGTTGTGCTTATTTTGTTGATTTAAATGAATCCTATGTAAGACCATTGGTTGTGTGACATATAGATTATGAGATTACAAGAATGCTTAAGCAAATATGAAAGATCTGATGACGGTATGACACCTCAGGTAAGATTTGAAAAGTTTTGGTCTTTTTTTCTCTTTTTGTTGGAATGGCAGTGGTTTCTGAAATGAATACTAGATCTATTCTTGTATTTAGTAATAAAAAAGGGATATAATGGCAGGTCGATCTTGCTCATCTATTAGCAGCTCGTGATCAGGAACTACGAACACTTTCAGCGGAGGTATGATGATATTTTTGAATAATTAATTAATGTTGTTTTATGATGAAGCAAAAAAGCAGATGCAGATAGATGAAGAATGTTGTTGTTGTTGCAGATGAATGAATTGCAAAGTGAGCTAAAACTTGCAAGATGTGTGATTGGTGAAAAAGAAAGTGAAATGGAGCGAGTAAATATGACCAACAATCAGGTAAAGTTGGTAAATGTATTTAGATGAAATGATGATGGTGATGGTAATGGTAATGGTAATGGTAATGGTATGTGTAGTATGTGGAGGAGAATGAAAGGGTGCGAGGAATACTAGGAGAATGGAGCAGCAGAGCAGCAAAGGTAGAGTTTACATTTGAGTGTGTATATCATAATACATGTATGTGGATGATAAATTAACGAGGAATGTGTTGTTATGAATGACAGCTTGAACGAGCATTGGAGGTGGAACGGATGTCAAACATGGAGTTGCAAAAGAGGATGAAAAAGACCACCACTTCCACTTCCACTTCCACTTGACTTTCTACTCTTTTACAAAACAACAATAATACATGGTTAGGTTAGGAGTAAATACTGAGATTCTATTTCTTTTAACTATACTTTAACTAGACAAACCCCCTTTTCCCTTTTTTAATATGATAAATTCAAAAATTAATTAATTCAAAAAAAAAAAAAAAAACAAGAAAGTGTTGTCTTCAATTACAGAACAAGGGCAAAAGTAATGATTTTTTGAAATGTAAAAACAAGTAAATGGCTCTTAATAATAAAAGCACCTTAAAACCTATAATTTTTTTCACAAATCACAAACAAACAAAGGCAAAGGCAAAGGCAAAGGCACCTCCCCTCCTCTTTTATAAAACACCAACTTACCAAAAACAAGTAAATGGCCCGGCCCAGCCCAGCCCAGCCCAAGTTTCCTGAAATTATATATCCAATACCAAAGAAATAGACACAGTAGAGTAGTAGGAGGAATGCTTTTCATTTTCTATCCAATCTCTTCCTTGGATTGCGAAGGCGGAGAATAGCTCCTAGCCTTTTTCTAAGAAGCCGCATGCCAACCTTAACCTTCTTTTACTACAATTCTTTCTTGCTTTGACTTGTAATCGGATTCAGATGGCGGCCGAAGAACCCAAATCATGGGATGAATTATACAGCATAGATTTGATGCCATCGGAGTTGTTTTTGAAGTTTAGGGAACAAATTCAAGGGTTTCGTGTTGGTCTTAATTTGGAGGTAATTTCATTTCTTTAAACAAACATTTTCACGTATACTATGCTATTGCCCGTTCCTATTCCTGTTCCTGTTCCTGTTCCTGTTCCTGTTCCAGTTCTACAATGCCCCAACCAACGAATGCCAGGCAAAGCTGGTTTTGAAGCCTTTATCACATGACCGAAGATGGAAATTCATTTACGAGCCTTTGCATCATGATGTTCGCCTTGTTTCCAAGAAGATCCCACTAACCAAATTCCTCAATCTCCAGGTTTAACTACACCATCATCAATCAATCAACAGGTCTCTCCTTGTTGATGTAATAATAATAATAATAATAATAACGATGCAGGTAGGAATTGGTCATAGTTTTCAGTTGCATACAACTGGTTGGAAATGGAAGCTGACTACTTGTTTAGGTGGGGACGGGGTATCTCGCATTCGGAATAAGACCTGTCTTGGTTTGTACCCTGGTGTAGATTTGCGTTTCGGATGGAGGGCAGACTATGTTCTTCCTGAATTTACAGGGCAAGTATATACATTTTCTGAATTCAAAGTTGAAATATAGTAGCTAATGTGTGTGTGTGTTTTTTTGGTAACAGAGGTGTAGGGACTGGTGAACCATTATTTAACATGAACTCTGGTCGATTAGAGGCATCCCTTGACAGGGTTGAGACCATTTTAACCCATGGTTGCTCCTCAAATGATCAAGTAAAATCTCTCTCTCTCCTTTTTAGTTATTTCAAATAGCAGTAAGTAGTGATAGCATGAATCTGAGTCTGTTATCATTATCTGTCTGTCTGTCTGTCTGCAGCTCATCCTGGAATCACCACCAAGTTGAATGCGTTTGTTGTTCATCAGCTGCTTCTTGGCTCTAAGGAAAGACCCAGATGCTGAAATTGGCATATATGGTTTTGGCCAACTCAATATACTTGTTCATATATCTATCAAATGTTTTAGGAGGTCCATCACTATCTGTATATTTTGGAATTGGAAAGCTGTTTGTATGGTAAAGGAATATAAGAAGGTGAGAAACTCAGACTGGTTATTGCTTGTAATAACTATGCCCTACTTCCACCCTCCCGACTCCTCTCCAAGAAGTAAACAAGGAAGATGAAAAGGATCAGTATTTTATACCAATTTCCCCCTCCTCAACTCAACTTTACCTAATGAACATATAATCTTTGACTCATAACTTGGAATGATATCATTTTCTTAAGATCAAAATGGTGAAAATAAATTTGGTGAGCAAATGTTGAACAAAGGAATACAAAAATTAAAGAGGAAAACAGTGTCACAAATCTTAACCATATTTTAGTTCAGAAAATTGTGAAATCTATTGTTCTAAAAATAAAAGAAGGCGAATAAAGAAAGTGAGAGTAAATAAATATTTTGGACAGAAACTAAAAGATTTGAAACATATTTATATAAAATATTAAAGTTCATTAAGTATGATCAATATTTTATATTATAAAACAATCAAAATTTTTATGAAATAACATATTCATTAAATTAAATGGACGGTTGAAATTGAGGTATATTGGTTATACAAATATAAAAGCTTGTATAATAACTCACCTCTGTTTCTTTATATACTATATATATATATATATATATATATATATATATATATATATATATAAATAAAAGATGAGAAAGGCTGCTTGTAATTGTGGTCGTTCAACTTTTTGTTTGCTTCTTGAAAACAGGTATTTATTTTCAATATTTAATAACATTCAAATTTTTTATATTTAGGTATTTGATCCAACATTACATTTTTTCTAAGAAAAAAAAACTCCAGTTTATTTGATTTCAAGAATGCTTCAATTACTAAAAAAACACATTTTTCTTACAAAAATTTCAATACACAACTTCTTACTGGTTATTTATTTTGTTTTTGTTAAAAATAAAATAAAGAATATATATATATATATAGAGGAGAGTGATCATATGAAAACCACTTAATTTGTAAAAACCGTAAAAACCTCATTCCATCAATCATAATTTTTCATTTTGTTCATTTTTTTGTAATTATGAAAGGTTAATTAATTATTTTTATTGTGTAGAATGTTAATCATGAATATTATCATCTTCATTATTTTAATTTTAGAGAAATACATGAAACAGTTTTATTAAAATTTCATTAAGTAGTATATGAAATAATTTCATAATCATATGTGAAACAATTTCATGAAAAAATTTCATAAAATTAAACAATGAAATCGACGGATGATAGTAGTTTTTATGGTTTTTACAAATTAAAGTGTTTTCATTTGATCGCTCCTCTCTCTCTCTCTCTCTCTCTCTCTCTCTCTCTCTMTMTATATATATATATATATATATATATATATATATATAACTTATTCTTGCAAATGTATACAAACAATTCCAGTGGTTGATTTGTAAGCAAAAGACATATCGATTAAATATATTATATAGGTACAAGAAAAAGTGGTGGCCAAAAGCCTCCCACATGAACATCAACCAAATGCTCTCCCCTTCTCTTCCATCTCATCCCTTAAAATATCAAAACATCCATCCACTTCATTTTCTAGCAAAAACCAGGTATCCTACCTCTTAACACTACTTACTGTCTCTCAACATTCTTGTCTTCTAGAATCCACTTCATTTTCTAGCAACCATCTAAAAAAAAAGACACTAGAAAATCTATAGCACCATGTTTTCTTTCTTAAGACTTTTTGTTGGCCTTGCAGGTAGCTAATTGTGTTACGCAACTCTGATGTTTAAATCACTCCAAATTTATATGTTTCTCTTGTATTTTAAGCTACACCAGCTACCTAAAGCATAATTTAGTGGTTTCTTTTTTTTATGGCTTGTGGGTTTGTCTCATCTTTTCTCCATCATTGCATTCTCTCTCTCTCTCTCTCTCTCTCTCTCTCTCATTATTGCACTTTAAACAATAAACTTCAAGACTTTTATGTTCTTCACATATCCAAGTTAAGAAATAATATCATACCTGGGGTTCAGAGGAATTGCTAGAAGAACCTCTGATGACGACAATCGGAATCCACAAGCCTGCCTTCCTGATGCCTGCTTGCTATGGAGCCACGAATCATCAAAACTATCCAAGAATTTCCACCCCAAAGATGATCACAATGTCAGTTTCTGCTATTTCAGATTTCCTTTGTATCAGCAAGTCTTCTCTGGCCAATAATAAGCTTCTGCAAATAAACAGGATAATGAGTTCAGGATCTTCACAGGGCATAAAGAAAGAAGAAATATCAGTACAGCTTCAGAAAAACTCGGGTTATCAGCTACAACCTACAAGTCAGACCCATCTTCAACTTGACTGTCTGCAACAGGTTGATCAAATATTTGTTCAAGACAAGAAACATGAGTTTGGGCAGTTTGTTGCACGTGAGGCGATGCTTGATGAAGAATATTGGGCAAGTGTTCATAAATTCTTCAGAAAACAAGAAATGGATCTCTCTCACTCAGCTAACTTGTGTTGGCATCTGTTGTTTGCTGATTGTGGCAGACAGCGGCATGGCTGCGGGCAGAAACACACTGGGAAGATAGGAAAGATGATCGGTATGAACTATATATTGAGTAGGCTTCTCACTATGTGTTTTAATCAACATATAGTCTTATTTCTGATTTTACGCCTTTACAAAGCACAATTGTACAGTTCACTGCATCTGGTTGCATATACAAGTATTTTCAAATTCCAAAAGACCCAACCAACAACTTCTTTTCCTTCACAGATGATAATTATGAAAAATTGTTTGGCATGCAAAGCTTTCCTGTCTAATTACCAAGCAAAATCCACAGTAGCATGCACAAACCTAATTTTACAAGTTCATAAGCATCATTTTTCTCATATTATATGGATCAGTTACAGACTTGAGATGACCAGTACAAATGCCTTTGACGTATAGAAAATGGAAGTAATGAATGCAACTGATACTAAACTCTTCTCAAAAACACAGATTTGCTGATAGCTACAAAAGGAAATTTACAGAGCAGGTAGGGTCCTTATGGCATACTATTTTTTTCCCCGAAAGTGGATAACTGTAAATGTGTCATTCACAATGTTTTGACTTTGATTAGGAGTTTAATGCACTAAAACGGCAGTGCAAAACCAAACCTGGACAAAAAAGTGCCTGCATTGTTACGGTATAAGCTTTGACCCATTGTGATTTTGCTTCCTATACTTTTTAGCTTATTTTTCCTGGGTAAAGGAAGAACCTTGATTAGGTAAAGAAAGAACATGGGAGTGAGAGACATACTGTACTGAAGAGCATAGTTGGAACCCTCGATGTCAGCATCCGACCCTTCTTGCATGGAGAGACTTTTCCTGGGGTAATTACCATTTTGATGCATAATGCCAATTGCAACTATAGATGAACTAACAAGTATGTTGAATCTCAGGAAAAAGTGAAAGCACCTATATTTTACAGTACAAAGAGAAAAGAGCCAAAAAATCAATATGGTTATATCGCAAACTTATGTGTAGCCAAATCAGCTCGTCGGCAGGGTATTGCAAGAAACATGTTACATTTTGCCATTGAGTCTGCCATATCAGATGGTGAGATTTGTATTTCGTTAATTATCTTAAACAGCGTAAACATATGCTTGAGACTATGAGTATCATTGTAGAAGGAATCATATGCTTGATGGTTAACCTAGATTTTAATTTCACAGGTGCAGAACAAGTGTATGTGTATGTAAACAGGAACAACATAGCTGCACAGGAATTGTACCAAAAGATAGGATTCAAGGTATTATACCACACAATTTTCTTAGCTTCTGATTGATTTTTCTTGATTTTCTCTGAAGTTGCTTTAACATCATTTATCAGGTGGTTGATCGGGCCAGCCCACAATTATCAAGAGATAAAACGTACTTGCTTTGCTACAGAGCATAATACATGAACACATTCCTGTATCATGGAAAAGAACCCAATGACAAACAACAAAAAAGGTTCTGAATACTGTAAAAATGTACATCACTTTACATAGTTTAAACAGATGAATAGTTCTGCCTCTATCAGCTTCAGTGTATATATTAATGCTTTACCTCAATAAACTCTGCCAACATATTCTTTTCGTCTCCATTTCATCCAATAATTCTCTCAATCTTGTAACATCCTCCCATCTACCAGCTTTGTCGTATAATTACATGACTGACATTTTAGGGCTGAAGGGGTTAAGCCTATCTGCATGTAGTGCTAGTTCAAGATTTCCATGGATTCTGCAGGCACCAAGGAAAGCTGCCCAAGCATCTAAATCTGGCTTAATTGGCATATTCTCAATGAATTCATACGCCTCCAGCAATTTACCATCATGGCCAAGAAGATCAATCATAGAAGTACAAAATGAAAATAAGAGACAATTAAGCAAAGCAACAACCAATTATCCATTCCACTTTCAAGTTTCAGTAGTCTACTTCATTCATTTACATCATCAACCATTCATTCCATGCAAAATGCCTCCTTCATTTACATCATCAACTATATATACAGATATATTCCTTCCAAAAAAAGACAACATCATAATCATCATCATGCTATCCAAATTCCATAACAAAATGAGGCATCAAACATGCTGAAATTGTGTTCAGACTGATGAATATCGCAACGGAAAACTGTGATCATGCACTTGAGTGTTCTTCAATATTTGACTCCCTCTCAAACCAGTAACTCTCACCTCTTCATTCGAGTGTCCATCTATAAACACATTTGTGATCTGCATCCATTCCAATTTAATTATCAATAATGAATTATTATTATCAATTTACCATCAACTACTAGATATCTTGTTCGTTTCCATCCATACCTGTGTGCACCCAAACAACTTGACCATTTTCAATGATATACAACTATCTACAATCAATCCCAGGGCCTCATTCGTCATATTGCGGCACCAAGATAAATCCAAAGTTAACAAATTTCTTGCATGTTTCGCAAGTGATAAAGCAGTGTGGTGCCCAACCTGAACAACAACAAACAAACAAACCAACCAACCAACCAACCCACTTATATATCTATATATAACCCATACAAAGATGATGAACAACTGAAACAGGTTAATGTAATGGTTGTTAAAAGAAGGTAACCTCATCAACATGATTGAGCGACAGTTCCTTCAAAGGTTCTCCACAGGCTTCAACGTATGCAGCTACAGCTTCATCACTGTCACGTTATTGGATAATTATCAGCTATCTTATAAACCAAAACCATGCATGGTGATAGAAGAAAAGCAATCAAATAAGCACACAGTTACAGTGTATCATGTCAGAACAGACAACCAGGACATCTACGTCACACACACACAACCAAGAGAATTAAAGGCCAAACACATTTACAACAGTTTTCTTCTTTTAGGATCACGGTGCACCCATCCCTTCCCTACAATGAACCAATTACTAAATGGCATTAGAAATGAACCTAATTAAGAAAGAGACAAAAATATGAATGCACTTAGAATTTTCTCCCTTAATCATTAGACCATCATTCTAACTTTTTGATATTTGTGGTAATTAGTACCTCATGCCCATACTTGTATATTTAGAGCCAAATCACTTCGAACGAACACTTCCACCAAAGGGAAAGTAAAACTCTACATTCGTACCATATACAACAATAAAGCATGGACTTCCCTGTCTAATACTCAAGGAAGGTACAAAAATAAATGTCAACAATTAAAACACAGCGTTTATCATTCTGCTTAAAAACATAAAATAGAAGAAAATTGACAAACCTGAATGCATTGCGGCAAAATTTCATTGTTTGAATTGTTTGACAACCATTTGCAAGATGTTCTATTGAAATGTCCGTCAATTTACTCAAGTTGGTTAGATCTATTGCACATAACCCAGGGCAACTTTCAGCGATGGCTTTTAAAGATTTATCTGTCAATTTCCTAACCAAATTAAACAAAGCAAGCATGATCAATAAGAGGTAAAGCATGTATGGACATACAAACTCTGAAATACTGAATGTATAACCACAAGGGTGGTGCCGATTGGTTTGAGCTTGGACTCCAAAGGTTAAAAGTGCTTGGAGGTCCCAGGAATAAAAATCCCCTTGTGGCCACGGAGGTTCAAATGCAGTGACTCCGGGCTACCCGCGATGCGGGTGGTCGTCCTAGGATTAGTCAGCTTGCATAGCGGGTTGGATATCCAGGTTAATAAAAAAAATGTATACTGTAGAAAGACAAATCATCTGGTCACCCTTACAACATCAACATCCATCCTGCAAAAAGGGAAAAAAAAAAAACAAAACTCACGTGCAATCTGCCAAGACAAGCTCCTTCATCTTCTCACCCCGAACAGCCACAAATTGTCTGATGAAAGAATCATTAACCATTTCAAAGCGAGAGATAGACAACACTTCCAAATGTTCTAGCTTCAATAGTGCAGGCAGAATACGTGTAGCATCAATACCAAAACACTCATCTATGTACAACTCCTTAAGGATTGGTCCTAGCTTGTCAGCTAAATCAATGATACCATCAGAAGTGAGCAAAGAGCAGCACCCAAGATTAATAGATCTCAAAGCAGGTGCAGAAGCAACAAGAGCACTCAGCCCAGCATCCGAGAGACGGCATGCACCTTTCAAGGATATATTAGTCAACGCCGAAAACTTACTTGGCAAGTGAGCCAAGGTGGTAAACAAAACGTAGTCTGGCAAACATCGCCCGCACTGATCCAGTTGTAGTACCTAAATCAGACATTCAAATACCCATTCTTAGCAGAATGACGATCGGTATTAAAACATGCCTGGCATATGTGAATATTCTCATGTGGTTGTTAACATCTTTAGTCTCACACATAAAAATGTTCGTAGCTTCAAGCTAAGGAGGCAAAGTAGATCTTAGTGCAAACTTCCTGCAAGAGACACTTTTATGGCAATTCACTACAAAAGGCAAGCTTGCAGTTACATGCGTCAAATATAGATTATGCAAACCAAAAGGCAATAAACAGGTCATATGCTATTGTGATACAACTAAATGCATTCACTAAATATTTTTATATTTTTAAAACAAGTAGATCACATGGGGTTACTGTATAAGAATCTATAATGAACATAAAGAATGAACCAACTTGCAGGATAAGAACCTCACCTTGAGATTACTAGTATCACTCCTTTCAAAGGTCTTTGTGAATTGTTCCTCATTTAACCATGAACAATCCTTTATACGTATCTCAGAAGGAGATCCGCTTGCAAGGAGGTCAAAGAAGTGGGTGTTCATTTTCCGACAATCACAAAGCAGATGAGTAAGCTTGTGTCTGAGTACATCCGGCACGTTTTCAAGGGAGATTATTGCATCCACATTTTCGGCAATAATTGTCATGCATAATTCCTGCAGGGATGGAGCCACCTTCTTCGGGCGATCGTTTTGCTGTTTCTCCTTGGGAACCCATATTAATGGAACAGAGTGACTTTTATCTAAAGTCAAAATTTTCTGTTGAGCAGGCATGTTTGCTGCTCGATCTTTAATTATTTTCATGGCGGTTGAGAATGGACCAGGCCAATCCTCCACCTCATCATTTGCTTCCATTTGTGGCAGTTCAAGTTCAACCTCATCTACAATAGGGTCGTCTTCTTCCTCTTGAGCAGAGAAATAAGCAAATCTTGAAGCATTTCTTTTAGCTACATTTTTAAACCTTTCCATATTGCCCCTTCTAGCGCTAGTGCTAGTGGCAGCTCTTTCAATAGCTGCCATCTCCATGCTCACAGTTTCAGCAACTGTACTATCCATCAAACTTGCTTCTTTAGATTTCACATGGGAATCAACCATCTCGCTGCAATTTGATGATGAATCGATCTCGACTACTTTCCCCTTCCCTTTTTCTTTCATGCGGAGTCTACTTATATCCCTCTTAACGGTATCATCGACACCATTCACAAGATCAATATCCATTTCTTCGCCAATTGTTGCCTTGCTTCTGGTCTCAGATTCTTCACCAGATATCATCTTGATTTTTTTCTCTAAACCTGATTCCTCATGACCGTCACCATCCACTAACGCCCCTTTCTTTTTATCTTCTCTGCTGGACCTTTTCCAAGCCTTCTCACTACCATTTATGTTACCTCTTGAGCCTCTTTTTGGCTCAATTGTAAGACTCCCTTGTTCGACTCTATTAACAACAGCATCACTTTCTATCTCTCTCGTTTCCCTGTTGTCCTCAGGAGCAGACAGTTTTTTATCATCAGCAACATGCTTAACCGCTGGTTTTAAAAGCTCCTTACCTGATCGTAGTTTTAAACATCCCTTTCCTGCATCATCCTCCTGAACCGATTCAGAATCCATTACTTGAACATCAACACTGGGAAGCCTTGGACTCTTCAACTTCCTCACACTCTGTACCTCTTCTTCATCATATTGTTCTGTACCCAAATCAGACAGCAACATTCTATTTGCTTCACAGTCGTCGGCAGTATCTAACAACTCCCTTGAAACCCCAACATTACGTACACGGCTCCGAGAAGCACCAGATACCTTTCCATTCCCATCCACACGGAACAAACCTGAAGCATTAATCCCACTAGGGTGTTGACCAGTTTGAAGATCTACAAGCTTCCTTTTCGTTGTAAAACCAACATTATACGAAGGCGATTTAGAAGAGAGTCTGGCACTCCTTCTGAGACCTTGGTTGGAAATAGAGCCGGAAGCCGTAGTAGCCACTGAGCCTGGGTTATGTGAAGCTGGAACCAAACTTGGAGTTGTTTGAAATGACGACTTATTGGTGGGCTCGACTTCCTTTACGGGTGTCAATGGTTGGATTTCAACCCCAGATGTAGGCGAAAGATCCTTTTGAGTTACAGAAACAACTTCTCTAGACCTTAAAAGCGTCATGTCTGTAGATGTTTTGAGTTGAAGATGGAAGTGATGGGAGAAAAGCGTTGATAGATGGAAGACGGTTAGGGTTTTGGAGGAAGATTGATGGAATTCCCGCCAAAGCGCCATTAAATCTATCCAAACCATTACCATTTACCAAAGTTCAGAACTTGGGTTGGGCTGTTGATTTGAGATTAGGGCTGAGGCCCATCATCATTTTTATTTATTCATCAACAAAATCTTTATGCTTGCGCTCAAATAATTTCCGAGTTATATATCCATAAAAGTGATTATCTTTGAGCTTACACATACTAATATATGTCTCATTTTTTTTAACGCTCAAGTTTTAGATTAAAACGGGATTAACGAATCAAGATAATATAATTGCGATCATCGTTTCTCAAATTACAAAACCTTGATTTGATCTATATGCGCCATGATAGACGCGAGTTGTTGTAATAAAAAAAAAAATAATTTTATAATAAATTTCATATTCTTCGGTTAATTAAGTGTTTCCATTGATTATTTAAGATTTAAAAAAAAAACACAATGTTTTTGGAGATAATGGTTTGCCGAAATAACCAGTAACTGGAGGTCTTCCGCCTAAGCTGCACAGAAAAGGCCCAAAGCCAATCCGCTTTGTCAATTTCTGGAAATCTTATTTTTACCGAAAACCTTTTTGACTCGCTACTAACAGGGTCTCGGTTGATTTCCCTTCCTTTAGCTACCCAGATGTTTTAGTTCGCTAAGTTTGAAACGTCCAAAGAGCGCATTAAACACGTGCCATAATTTTCGATTTTGTGGGGATGAATTAATAAAAGTGCATTTGGCAAATTGGAGGACAAGTTCACCCAAACACAAACACATGTTATGGATTTATCTCAACGGATCAAAAAATACGCACAAAGTTTCTTTATCCAAAACTTTTAATAAAAGTATTTATTAAGATCTAAAATACTTGATAAATTCATAATCAACAGTCATAAGTTCATTAGAAATGATCCTATTACAAAGACGATGGGTGCAGAAAAATGTTTATGTCGCCCGACCCGTATTTGCCTAAAAATTAGGGTTTTCCCATACCTGAAAATTTCAATTAGAGGAAACCAGGTCTATTTGATTCCTCCAAACACTTGATTGGAGCATCACACAGTCTCGATCATCGTCATCGCCTTTTATCTCACTCAGAACCATGCCTATAAAATGGTAACTAAAAGGGATTCTTGTTTTAGCGCTTCAATTTTTTTGTTGCTTTGTTGTTCTTGATCGAGGATTCAAGGTGTATACATGACCTCTCCTGTGTTTTAGAGAACGAATGATTGATCTTATGTATGTATATTAGGGTTTTGCACTGGCAGCCCAATGCAGGACATACCGTGAGCAGTCAAATACTGGCAGAAGTATCTCAGTGTGTTGAGAGCATCAATGGTGTCAAGGAAGGAAAATGGAAAGCTACACTCAGCTTCTACAGGCCCGTTCTTAAAGGTAATCTTTGTGAAAGTTGAACGATTTAAAACTATCCTCCCGACTCTAGGTGGTAATACTTGAGCTTGTTGATATTCAGATGTAACTATGAATACATATGAATTTTAGTCTTTTCAGTTTTAGCTGTTACTTCTGTAAACACTCTAAGCTGTATTACTACTAATCATATTCCATCTCCATAAAAAATAGGAGGAAAAAAGAGCCAACTTAGACTACAAAGGCGAAGCAAAGCCTCCTTCACATATTCAAGATGGCATGACGTTGTTACACATTAAAAACCATCAATCGTAGTGATGGCTATTTGAGATAAAGTTTAAAGATTTTTTTTTTCATTCAATAGTTATAGAACAAGTTTATTTTTAAGTCGAGAATTTGAGACCCACAGTGAATCAACTGCTTTGAAAGTTAACGAATTTTTAGCAGTATATTTAGGATGTCAAAATTTTGAAGTCAAAAGGTAGCTCGAGTTGTAGAAAACTTATCAAAGAGACATTGGTTGATTTGCTGGAAGATTTTAGCAAAATGACAGCGGACAATAGTCGTATTAAGTTTTCTCGTAATTGTAAAACAGAGGTACTTCCCAAGTAAGGAGTAGGTTACTTCAAAAAGAAAAACAAGATTATATTTATTAAACATTGGTTCAAATGTGGATTTAAAGGATTGAGAAAAGGTGAACTATGACCCTTGTTTATTTTTATTTGATATGGAAATATGGAATGGATGTAGTGTGTCTTTATATCATGTATGTTGTACATGTAATGATGTAAAGGCACTCTAACTTCGAGTATACATTTGATTTGTAATTGGCTAATTGCTTCTTAGAGCAAGCAAATGCGGCAGAATTCCCACGTGACTTTCTGGGGATATCGCTACCAGAGCAGCCCAGCAAATACTACTTTGTTTTACGAGGGCAGCGTTTAGTTCTTGAGGCAGATTCCACAATACAGACTATAATGGAGAAACTCCAGTCTTACAAAACTAGAGTGGCACTAAATTTTGAGGTCAGCAAAGCCTATCATTTTCATCATGTTCCCATTTCTGTAATTATGTTGTAATATTTGTGTTCCTGGTCTGATAGTCGTAATTTTTCAATAAAAAGCTTTCATTCATATCCGTGTATAAACAGGAACGTAGAATCAAACAGGGTTTTTCTTCTTCTAGTGAACCAAAATACGCCGCTGAAAAGAATCTGAGTTTTCAGCCAGATGTGTCTGTGACTTGTGAAAGTTCACTGCCATATATCTTACGCTTTTTTCTTCTTCTTGTAATGTTAGGGATTTCAATATCAGCTTGGCGATTTCCAGTTGAGGGTGGGTAAAGTTGTTTCCATTCAATCAGAAAGTTTAAGGGGAATAGTTATGGAGGTAATAAACGCTTCCTTTAACTTCTGTGTTATATCTTAATTGTTGTCATGCTTCAGTGAGATTTTGACTTTTATGTTTTGTGAATTAAATCATGGAAAGGTTTTAAAAAATCCAATGGAAAATGAAGTTTAAAGATGTTCACTAAATTTCTCATAGTTATTGCTCTTCAGATGTACCTTCAGGTAGACGGAACTTTAGTGACCAACTGCAAGTGTACCTTCTAGGTTCTAACAAGAAAATACCCCTTCCTTCTGTCTTACATCTTGTATTTTGTAGAGCAAGGATAAAAATTACGCAAAAAAATGATTAGATTGCATCAGAAAAAAAGAATTTCAAAAACAGGAGAATATACACAGTCAACACTGTCTATTGCAAGCTTATAGGAAAAGAAAACAGAACATGAGGAGCTGTTAAGACTGAAGATAACAATCTACCAAGATAAATTTTATTCTGTAAAATTGTCATACAGCATGTGATCTTAACATATCCTCTATGTCTTACATAAACATTTGCATATGTATATTCGTGTGTGTGCTGACTTTGAGTTTCTTATTTACCTCTTGAACCTTATTGGCACTATGGTAAATGGGTTCTGCCTCCCAATTTTAATTATGTATTGAGCATTCAATCAAAATCTGGCTACTACACATCAGACTGTCACCAACAATGGCATGGGTCCTCTCGCCCTTTTACGAATAAAAAAGAAGTGCAAATTTGAAGATTTATAATTGTTGTTATATAAGCTGGTCCACTTTTTGCAGATGTTAAGAAACCTGTGATTGGGATGTAACGGTAATTGTACAAATATGCAAATGATATAGGCTTAACATGCAAATGCAGAGTGGTTGATAAGTCTGTAATCCTTGCTTACAACACAAATCCTTTTTCTGTCATTGTTGTGTAGTTGCCCCAGTTTTGTGATTTGCTTTCAGCTTAAAATGATAGTTGGACATGCCACATGTCTACCAAATAAGTAGGTATTAGACAGCAGTAAGGAGAGGAAGTAGGGTGTGGATCATCTTTGAAAAAGCTATAGTTGTGAATGCGTTTGTTATGGTGCAGATGGAATACCGACCCATTTCTTCGTGGGAGAAGTCGCATAAAATCATGGGAGAGTTCTTTGACATATGGCAAGAAGCTCTGTCAAAAAGATCATTACCAGGCCATTTTGTGCACATGGAACCAAACTTTGGGGAGTTTGGGCTGTCTGGGCAATACACCTTACAACACACAGCTGTTCAGTATGCCACAATTATGCTTCAGATGATAGCTACTGCTCAATCAGTTAGAAACTAGAAGGGTGGGATTTCAAATCCAGGTTCATGTTTTCTTGGTTACAGTGAACATTTGAGTTTGTTGTAATTAATTTGTAAACTGATGGATTAAATACAAATGTTATTTACCAAGAAAAGGAAATTTGAATGGTATTTATTCCCCAACCTTGGAAATTTAATTTAATTTGTTAGAAAATATGATTGTTATAAAACCATCCGTATTCCAATCTGATGGATTTGTCCAGTGTTTTTTTATCTTTGAATTTGTAAAGAACACAGCAGGGCACAATCTTTGAATTAAATCTTGTCATCTGCTTGGTGAATTAATTTGCAACCACTCACATTAACTAGGAAAGATGTTGACACTACTGATATTACATTAACAAGGATAGATGTTTACCATTTTCTGTCTTCCCCTCAATCCTCTTTTTATAGTAATAATGCATTCAAATGCTTCTGCTTTGGAATCACATGCAGTAATTCTAGAGGATGTATAATTAATTACTAATTAATACTCCCCAAAACACATTATTAGAAACATATACCACATGTAGTTGTTTAATTATACAAGGTATTCATAATGAAGATAGCCATTCTCCTCCAATTTCAGGAATTGAAGTAAAATAATCCAGAATCTCCTTGGACCAAGCCTGTGTGGTTGCATCTGTTGCAGCAACAGTAGAAGAACCTGCAGACACCATATCATCTCCTCCTTTCGTCATTTGATCATCGTTTAAGTTGAATGAATCTGTGAAATCCATGTTAAACAGACCTGATAAATTACAACTTCCCTCCCCCATATTCACATCAAGACTGAAACTTGATGATGGATTAATAATATCTTCTTCATGATAGAATGATGGGAACATTTCATCAGTAGGTTTAGGATCTTTTATCTCAACAACATTCGATGTTGTGGGCGGTGGGTGTGGACTAAAATGTGTCTTGGAGCATCTCACTGCCTTGGTTCTAACCACATTCGACTTCTCGTTCGTTTCGTCATCAGTCTCATTGATTACGCATTCTTTGTCTTTCCTCTTCTTAAGTGGACTTTCTTGGTAAGACTGTACATGAGAATTGTGGTCATGATGAAGCTGATCATGCACTTTTTTGGCTAGAGTGGTGTTCCAGTAATTCTTGATTTCATTGTCTGTTCGCCCTGGGAGCCTCCCAGCAATAAGCGACCATCTACACGTATGTATGTATGTACAAAACAAGTAGTAGTAGTAGTAGTAGTGTAGCTTAGTAAGACCAAAATGGGTATATAGCGACCTTCAGTTGTTCCTAGTGTTGATTGAAGTTGAGAGATTAATGGCAAGTAGCTAATACCTGTTTCCCAAGAGTTTATGAAGCCTGATGATGAGATCTTCTTCATCACAAGAAATGTTGCCCCTCTTGATATCAGGTTTCAAGTAATTCAACCATCGTAGCCTGCAACTCTTTCCACACCTCTGTAAACCTGCATGGATTGATTCAATCATATTTACATGTTGATCAGCAGATCTATATCAAAGTTTAAATCTCTCTCTCTCTCTCTCTCTCTCTCTCTCTCTCTATATATATATATATATATATATATATATATAAGAGAGAGAGAGAGAGAGAGAGAGATCTAGAGAGAGTGAGTGTGTATGTGCCTGCTTTGATGGGAAGTTGTCTCCATTTGCCTTCACCATGAAGCTTAATGTAGTCAGCGAGGATCTTGTCTTCCGAGGCTGTCCAAGAGCCTCTATTCAACCCTATCTTTGAACAACAAGGGCTTCTCCCCATCTTCCTACCTGTTTAATTAACTACCTTCTTTCTTAATAACTAGTTTGTATGATGAAATTAAAGATGAGTTTTTGAACATCCTGATACTACTTAGGTACTTGATCAATATATATACACATACATATATATGAATGATGAGCTGGTCAGAATCATGGATTCTCAAGAGGCAAGGGTCCCCTTTCCCTCAAATATAAATATAAATATAAATATATAAATATAAATATAAATATAAATATAAAAGTAGAGCAGCTTAATTTCTTCAATTCTAGGATGCAAAAGGAAAAGGTATGTATACATGCATGCACCATAACTTAAGTTGTTAATTAATATTTCCCATGAATGAATGATATATGTATGTCAATTTAATCACTTAAATTATTATTATTATTATTTAAACCATGGAATGGAACATGTTTGAAACACAAAAAGGATAAGCATTATATATATATATATAATGTTTTAGAATAAGGTAAAGAAAAAAAGTAAATGTATTTGTATGTATGGAGATTGGGATACGTAGGTAAAAGCAAAAATGGTATGATGATGATGGATATAGAATTAGAAAGTGTGCTTGGCCTCCTTGTTTTACAAAAATCTTCTCATTCCTAATTAATTCTCCCAACCCCCACATCTCCATCACTTTCCATTATTTTATTTTATTAAATTACAATCCTATCTCTATATACAATTTCATTATTTATTCTATTCTTTCAAATACAAATACAAATACAAATACAAATACAAATATCCATCCATAATTGATCGATATGTCCGCTTACATCTTTTCACATCCCGCCTCATTACACAAAAGATAGAGAGAGGGATCTCTCATTTCCATGCTATATCTTTCCTAACTTATTTCTTTTTTCACTTAACTCTAACTTTCCTTTTCAAAATACCACTCTTTGTTCAATGGAGGTTTTTATTATAAAACTTGTTTTTCTATACATATTTCTTTATGTCATCATATCATATCATATCGTTTTCATTTCATCAAATTAAAAAAATTCACAATGATTAATCATTTTTTATAAGAATCTTCCATTACATCACATCACATCACATTAATAATTAAATATCAAGTATTTAATTTGAAATATATAAAAAAAATTGTCACGCGTAAGAATCAAGGTTCTTATACAAGAACCCAATAAGGATGAGCTTTTCCATAAAATATCGTGTCTTGTGAAAATTTATATTTTTTACTTATAAAAACCTTGCACCGATGCTCTTACTTTACATAATACTTTAACATAAACCTTTTTTTTCTTCTAATTAATGTTATTAGTTATTTTTATATTATTATCATTCAATAGATTTAATCCATCAAAACAAAATGAAATACAACAACCCTTAAAATGTTTTTTTTTAATTATATAAATATTAAAGTACAACTTTGATGAATACATTATTTTTAAAAAGTAGTAATTATTCAGAAATTTTAAACTTGATGTTATGTTTTATAAATCACTAAATAGTTTCTTTCACAAATTTATGTGTTATAGCTTGATGCGTATAATTCATCTCATCTCTCCTTTGTTAGGTAAAATCTTCAATACCTACTCTAATATCATATTTTTAAGATTATTTGTCTAAAATAAACTATAAATCTTTAATTTTTGTATGCGGTTTGTATGCAATTGCAATTTGCACGTATCAAAATCAAATGGGAAAGGGTGGGCTACTTTTTATATACGGGCGTGGATGGGCTCAGCCCACAACTCCAAAGAGTAAACCCAATATGTTATAGAGTAAATTACACTTTCTAATTCTATTCACATTGGCTCCAAAATTAAAATTAAAATTAAAATTAAAATAAATATAGATTTTAAGATTGTTGTGTTCTTCTTCATAGACGAAACTCAAATTTGATACAAATATTTTTTTTGGAAATAAAATATGGAATTATTCGATGTACCATTTAGAACTCGATTCAAATTTGGGTTTGTTTCAATACTTGGAAGAATACAAATCCCAAATTCAAAACTGCAATTAAAATCGGAAAACCCCTAGAATCCATATCAAATGTGTATCTCCTCCTTTCATATATTCATTACGATTTTTCAATCTCTTATGTGATCCATAACTTGAGATAACATAAACAATACCACAATTCAAATATCATAATATATTTCATATGTCTACTATTTTTATTATATATATATATATAATGATCTTTAATCTATCATTTCTCTCATCAATACCAATGGCAAAAACAACACCATAATTGAATATTTTTAATACTTAAATCTCATAATACTACTTCATACCCTACAATCTCCATTTTATATGTATAGATATAGATATTTACATATAAGGATCTCTCCAAAAAATACGTTATAAAATATAGTTTTCACTATTGATATTTGTCAATATTATACCATTTTTGTATTAAATTAAATAATTTGTGTATGTATATATTCCTTTTACAAAAGGAGGATCGGTCAAAATATATTATAGCCAACCAATTTTTCAAAGAAATGTATCTTTTTTTAATATACCATGTCTATTGTGCATTCAATCATTTTCTCATAATTGTAAGATAACAAAAATCATACAACAATTCAAGAAAAATTAAATACTTAAATCTCATAATATCATTTTATATATTGATTATTCTTACCAAACACCATTTTAAAATAAAATTAGATTTGTGGTAATTTTTGAGTCCATTCTATCTAAAACAATAATTAATTTGAGAGATGAGTGAGTCAATTTAATGTCATCAGAGATAAAAGATATACTTGAAATGTTCCTTTTTGATTGTCGACATTAAATAAATAATGTGAAATAAAATGTTTTACATTGAAAATGGGAGTAAATCCTTCACCAAATTGTTACCAATTACCAAATCAAATAATTTAAAAAACACAAAATAAAATCAATTGATTAAACACAAAATAAGGAAAAGAAAAGGGTGATGGTGATTGAGTTGGGTGGGAATAAAAAGCTGCTCTTTTTCTTTCTCTTTCTGTTTCAATCTTGATAAAGAGACATATAATACATGCTTTCGAATCATCAACCCAAAATACTCTACTAAAACTCATTAATTGGTATATATACATACATGATCATCATATCAGTTCATCACTCCAATTCCAATTGTATTATGATGAGATACATGCCAAAACAAATTCATGATAAGATGCAAAATTAAGGTTTGGATTAAGCAGGCCTAGGCCTAGGCCTGGTCCTGGGTTTGGCATGTAATCTTGAATCTGAATGAACCTCCTCCATCTCCATGGATTTGCAGAAACGAGAGGAAAGACGAACCACTTTTCTAAATCTAATATTGTCGTTCAGTTCTCTAATCAGACACGCATTTCTACCAACATTATCAGGAATCCTTGACTCATGAATCAGTACTCTGTTCTCATCTAATATGTTTTCGACTTGAACAAAACTCCTTTCAACACTAATTCACCATTTCCCATCAAATCAATTGCAATCCTTCAATTTATTTAATAATTACACCAACAAGTCAAAGGAGAAGTAGGCCTAATAATTGAAGTTATAGCCCATATATATGAATATGAAGCAGATCCCATTTCTTTTTCCATAAACAAAAACCCACCCTCACAAAAAGAAAGATATAACATCATGGAATTCCAAAACACCACCATTTTTTTTAATAAAAAAAAGATACAAAATTTGAAAATGGGGGGGTTGGGGTTGGGGTTTGCTTGAAATTCTGGGGAAGTTAGATTAGAAGAGAAAGGACAAAATAAAGAAAGAATGAAGAATAAGGGTACATAAAAGCTTCAGTTTTTTTTGCAGAGGCATAAATTCCTAAAATAGCAAATAAAAAACCCAGAAAAGCAAAGGAAGTTTGCACGGATCATATGATATTACAAGCTTAATTTTATAAAATACGTACCTCCAATCCAATATCGATCTGAGGGAGCATTATATATTAATATTATCACCAAACAAAATATCCCAGAGAGACGAAGATGGATGTGAACAAGTTAAATATGGAGGATTCAATCTCTGAAAGAAAGAAAGAAAGACTACGTACCCTCGCTTAATTGGCTGAGAGAGAGAGAGACATGTATTCCTCCATGGCTTAATGAAAGACTAGCCAAATAACCCCTAATTAAGTTTAATTATATGAAGTACATTTTGTAACCTTAATTAATTGTGAATGAGTTAGTTATTTTCCAAAGTTAATGAAATTATTTTTTATTTATAATTAGTGGATTGAAAAATTAATTAATTAATTAAGATGAAGATTGATAAAGAGTCTTATAATTTATAAAGAAATTACACACAAGTAGAAGTAGAAGTAGAATTCATTCACAAAAGTAAATTAAATTTTGAAAACCAAATTAAGCATTGGAAAAGGAAAGGATTACAAGATGATGGATGATGCTTAATTATCTACCCACGCTTCACTGGATCAAAATTGGAAACACCAATTATAGCTCCTAAAATGGCCACAAGAACAGCACCACCAGCACCAATACTCAGCAAGAAGTTATTCAGCGACGGCGTAACACCAGACGCCGCCTGTGCTACATCGGGAACCACCATAGAAGCTGTTAGAGCCGCCGCTGTCAAAGCTGTCACAGCCTTCTCCTTGAATGAGCTCTGAACAAGAACCATCCTTTTGGTCTTAACTCTGTTGCTGCTGCTGCTGAGTGTCAATGGGTTGAAGAAGGTGGAATTTGGTAAAGCAGTCTTGTGAGTCAACGGCATGGAAACTGCACAAGCGGAGGTGGCCATTGGATATGATTGCTGTTGCTGCTTCTCTAGCTCTTGGAGGTCTGTCTAAGGGTGTTTGAGAAATGAAAAGTAAGGGGGTATGGTAGGGATGATGTTGGTACAGTTAAAGAAAGGTTGAGAGGTGAGAAATGGTATTTGTGATCTCCATATGATCTGGAGTCCCATGTGGCTGCTTCTCTACTTGCTTTTGGTGGATAACCTTATCCATCCATCCATCCATCCATCCTTCTCTTTTTTAAATTCATATTCACTTTCATTCTTAAAATATACATTTCAAAAACTATGCTTCATCATGTCTCAACATCTTATATTATATATTTACTTTTAGATCTTGCTAAATTCAAACTAAACTACATTTAAGAATAATTCAATTCCATAACTTTAAATTCAACTTAAAAAGAAACAAGCCAAATTGAAAATTGAAGCATGTTTTGGAGTAAGCAACAAGGAACAAGCCAAGGGTATTTTAAAAAGAAATTGAAAATTAAGCATATGTTTGAAAGGGTGGGTGTAATACTTGCAGCATAGTTTTCCAAATTCCCTTTCACATTAAAAACCATGATTGGTTTTGGCTAATCAATGCTTTTTATATATAGTTTGAAAAATCAATTTCCAACTTAACAATTATCATATCATATCAAAATGTGTTGAAATAAATCATGGACGAAACTTCAACCACTCTTCTTGCATCCATCGTTTTGTTCATGCATTACATGCATGATTATAACTTATATAGTAAAAGGTAAATAAATTTAACATAGTTAGAGTTAGAGTTAGAGTTAGAGTTAGAGTTAGAGTTAGGGTAATAAGGGACCCAATTCGTAACAAAACTGAAAACCACAACAATGATACTTATAATTATTTGTTTGGAAGGAGAAGGACCCAATCTATGGTTTTTATTTCTTTTTATAATTTTCAAATAACCCGAGGGACGAAATCTGTAACTTACTCCATATATTTTTTCGGATCAAAGTGAGGAAATGGTAATAAAATGGTTTAGTTTAATTAGTGTGCCGAAAACTATAAATGAAGTGATCTCCAACATTTTTGGGTTTATATATATGGCTAGGCGAAGAAGGGGCGGCGGAGGAGATTCCAGGAAACCAACCACTTCCAACCACCACCATCAACAACAGTCTCCGCCTCAGAAAGATAAAAAGATCAATGATGCTACTACTGATCATGATAATATTCATGGAGACGATCTTAAGAAATTGAACAAGCCCATCACCAACAAGAAGAATTGGTCGTGTATCGATAGTTGTTGTTGGATGATCGGATCTATATGTTCAATTTGGTGGTTTTTGTTGTTACTATACAATGCCATGCCCGCTTCATTCCCGCAATACGTGACCAATGCTATAACGGGAAAAATACCCGACCCCCCAGGTGTCAAATTGCAAAAACAAGGGTTCAAGGCCAAGCATCCTGTGGTTTTTGTACCCGGCATTGTCACCGGTGGGCTCGAAATGTGGGAAGGCCATCCTTGTATGGATGGGTTGTTCAGAAAGAGGCTTTGGGGTGGCACCTTTGGTGAACTCTACAAGAGGTACGTAAATTATTTCTTCATCTCTAAAAATCAATTACCCTTCAATGGACTTCTTATATACATACATATATATATATATATATATATATATATCATCCTTTATTAATTTCTATCCAATATATATATATATATATATATATATATATATATATATTAAAGGTGTACCTTTTTTTAATTCTCCGCAGGCCCTTGTGCTGGGTGGAGCACATGTCACTAGATAATGAAACTGGTCTGGATCCTCCTGGGATAAGGATCAGACCTGTGTCTGGACTTGTGGCAGCTGATTACTTTGCAGCAGGCTATTTTGTATGGGCAGTTTTGATTGCCAATTTGGCTAACATTGGATATGAGGAAAAAAATATGTATATGGCAGCTTATGACTGGAGGCTCTCATTTCAGAATACTGAGGTATATATGCTTGAAATTTCTTTATAAATAACTGGTTTTGATGCATGTTAACCATATACAAATGCACACTTGCTCTTTTAATATTTGTCAAATCAGGTACGCGATCAAACTCTAAGCCGCATGAAAAGCAATATAGAACTCATGGTCTCCACAAGCGGTGAGAAGGTGGTTGTGATTCCACATTCTATGGGCACTTTGTACTTCTTGCATTTTATGAAATGGGCTGAAGCACCGGCTCCAATAGGTGGCGGAGGCGGATCAGATTGGTGTGCTAAACACATAAAAGTTGTGATGAATATCGGTGGACCTTTATTGGGGCTCCCAAAAATAGTCGCAGGCCTTTTTTCTGCTGAGGCCAAGGATATTGCCGTCGCCAGGTACGATTTCTAGCGGGTATCATGGTACATACAACTTCTTCCATGATCACCTTTTGAATCTATCATGTTGAGTGCAATGAGCTATTAGTGCTTCAAGTTTCAGTCTTTTGGTTAAAGAATAGTTTGATTCATTTGAAACTTCTTGTACCCCTACTCTGATTGTAGTTTCTGTTGGTTGTGAATCTTGTATGTTGAGCTCTACTTGCCATGTAGGACCGTTGCACCCGGTGTTGATATATTTGGTTTCCAAACTTTACAACATGCGATGAGGATGACTCGTACTTGGGATTCAACAATGTCGTTGATACCAAAAGGCGGGGACACTATCTGGGGTACACTCGATTGGGCTCCTGACGCTAGCCATGATTGTGTTGCCATGAAGGCGAAAAAGAATGATACTCAAGTAGCAGGTCAAAATGGGAAAGGGGGTTTTGATGGTTCCAAATCCGTTAACTATGGGAGAATAATATCTTTTGGCAAAGATGTTGCTGAGTTACATTCATCAAAGATTCACAGGGTGGACTTCAGGGTAATCCCTTTATAGTAATTGTTTATGCCAAAAATGACATTAAATAATTTCTCAAGTAAAAACCGAGTACACAAGGCATGTACAACATTTTTGATTTCTTGGCTCGTGACTGATACAGAGACTTTGGAAATGCAGGGGGTTGTTAAGGGTCATAATTTCGCAAACACAACATGTCGGGATGTATGGAATGAATACCATGATATGGGAATTGGGGGTGTCAAGGCTGTGGTAGACTATAAAGTATTCTCGGTTGATTCAGTTTTGGACCTATTGGAATACGTGGCTCCGAGGATGATGAAGCGCGGTAGCGCCCATTATTCGTATGGAATAGCTGAGAATTTGGATGATGAAAAATACGAGCATTATAGATATTGGTCGAATCCTTTAGAAAGCAAGTGAGATTTGTATTACTTGCTTGCTGAATAAATGAGATGGTTTTCATATTGTGAAGCATAAGCATTTGATTTGATTTGATTTGATGGTTGCAGATTACCAGATGCTCCTGAGATGGAGATACTTTGTATGTATGGAGTTGGATTAGCGACAGAAAGAGCATATATCTACAAGTTTAGTCCACCAATTGCTGACTGTTACATTCCTTTCCAGATTGATACCTCGGCTGATGGTGGAAGTGAGCAAAGTTGTTTGAGAAGTGGGGTTTATTCTGTGGATGGGGATGAAACAGTTCCGACTCTAAGTGCAGGTTTCATGTGCGCCAAAGGTTGGCGAGGGAAAACGCGATATAATCCTTGGGGAATAAAAACATACGTGAGAGAGTATGATCATGCACCTCCAGCAACATTACTAGAAGGCAGAGGAACACAAAGTGGAGCACATGTGGATATAATGGGGAATTTTGCATTGATAGAAGATGTTATGAGAGTAGCAGCTGGAGCTACAGGGAAAGACTTGGGAGGAGATCAAGTTTACTCCAGTATTTTCAAATGGTCTGACAGGATCAACTTGCAATTATAGGTATCATTTTTATGCATGTTTCATTTTTTTATTTACTTCATGTAGTTTTTAACCGATTGTATATGCTTGTGACAGTTGTTGCATGCATATATATATATATATATCAGCAGAAGGGTGGAAGAAGCTTATGAGAAATGAAATTCATCATTGTTGTGTGTGTGGTTACACAAGTTAAAGCTTGTGAATCAATGTGAAAATGAAACCAAGGTATTGAGCTATCTTCTGTTTGGGTTAGAAGCATATTATTGTTGTTCTTAACAAGGAAAATAGGTTTATGTTGTTTTGAATTGGAAACAGATGGATCGGTCATTGAGCTAAAAGAAAAGAAAAGAAAAGAAAAGAAAATAAAGACTCTGATTGCTTGCTTGCTATCATAAATTGGTTTGGAAAGGTTGGTGATATCATTTTGTGTTGATGCTTAGAATCCCTTTTCACTTCTGCAATTAAGTTATGGTTTTAAGTTTGAGAATAAATAGTTTTAATGTTTCTTTGAAATGGAAAAAACATACCAATATTTATTATTACTTGTGCTTTCTTTTTACAAAAAATATATTATGGAGTTACAATACATGCACATAAAATAGAAAATAGATTTGTTTATGTTTTTTATTAAATCTTTTTTATGACTTTCCGATAACCAATGTATATGTTAATGTTATCATAAATTGGATCGAGTTTTTTCTTTTGTACTTGGACGTCACATATAATACTTTTTTTGTACTTAATCTATGACTAACTAAAGTTGGAGAAGATATGGATTTTTTAGGCATGTGTCCATGAATTTCAAGTGAGGGAAAAACACATGACATATTTAAAAGCCTAAAATCACATTTCTTTTGGTGTGAAATATGGCCCATTCAGGTTTAAGGGACGGCTTTAGCTTTTTCAAACTTTGATCGGAATTTAGTAAAAAAGGAATTTCTAACTATAACAATTTACAAGTTCTTTAAAAAAATAAAAAAAACTATCTTATTCACTTGTATTATTTGAAGTCATATTAACATTACAATTTTGAGTTATAAAAATTGTATATAAAACATTTAAATTATTTGAGCTTTCATTACAAAAACCGTATGTCATCATCTGGGTTTTGAAATCTTCAACTTAGTTACTCGTATTTTGAAATGCTAAACGTTGTATGTTAAAGCCATACAATTACATAAATTTTGGTCTTGCTCGGCCCATTGAATTACCATCTTTGTTGCCCAACTCAAACAAAAAAACCTAATTGGATCGGTCAGGACCAATTTGCATTTGATCAGTTTTTATACCGTGTCTCATCAGACTTTTTCATGTGTTGTCTCAATGTGGAATTTTTGGACATTGTTAGTAGATTTCACATCTCTGTATAGGACTTCCTTAACCCTCTCAACCAAAACGAAATTAAGACTATCCCAACTCTCTGTCTTGCCATTGTGATTGATAATTACAATATATGTAATTTGGGATGTTCTGCTGAGGTGTAAGAAGAACCAACATTAGCACTTTGGTAATTTAGTTTGAACACATTTTTAGAAATATATTGATAGCTCCAAGAATACAAAAGAAGCGTAAAGTTATTCCACCACCGTGGTCACATAAGGTCCATTTTTACGTCTTCATGCCCTCTGTGTAGCGACATGGGGGGGAAATGAAAGAGAAGCGTAAGGTCACATATTGTTTATTGTAACATTACAAGATTAATTAACAATATAAAAATCGTAGCATAATTAAGATCGATCGAGTTGACTATGTTCAAGAGTTATTCATCATACATTGCTGATTTTTTTTAATAATCAAATTAGTCCACGATCGATTCATAAAGTAAAAGATGACATCATAATCGATGTTTATATCAAAACTGGTTCTCATATGATTCTTAAAAGATTGAAACAATAAACATCTTTTTGTTATAATTTTAAGGTAAATGATAGTGATTACATAATTCTTTTTTAAATATAAATAAGAGACACAAGGTTAATGGTTTGGTGAACATTATCCAAATATCTTTTCTTTAAATAAAGTATTAAAATTATGGTGGGAGTGGGAGTGGGACCGGGACCGGGACCAACCACAGAATAGAAGCGACAAATTATAAAAAAGAAAAGGCAAGTATCCAAATGAGGTTCATGGTTGTTTACTGGTATTGGTGCAGGTCTTTGTAACTCCATTTACCATTTCTTTTTCTTTTCTTTTTTTTAAAAAAAATTTAAACATCACCAACAATTATTTAAATAATTTCTTTTGGGAGGAAGACATACAGAGATAGATACAGCAAACCCAGATGACAGGGAAAGAGAGAGAAGATTTATAGTGAGGGTTTCAAGGAAGGAGACATGCCCAATTTCACCCAACACCTCTGTTTCTTGCTTCCTTCTTCAAGATCCCAAAGGTTCATTTTTTTCTCTTTCTGCCTTTTCTTTTCTTTTCTTTTCTTTTCTTTCTTTGTTTGACTTTTACTATCTTCTTCTTTTTGTCGATTTCTTTTATATATATATATATATATATATATATATATACACACACACACATATATATTATGCTTTATGTTCAATCTTGATGCATTTGTTGATGTGGGTTTATCTTTGTTTATGTTTTGCCGATTTCTTTTATGTATATTTTGCTTTGTGTTTAATCTTTATGCATTTCTTGTTGATGTGGGTTTTTCTGTATCTATGTTTCTTGAATAAAATCAATGCATACTGTGCTCAACCAGTAACTTTAGATTTAGATTCTTCTTCTTCTTCTTCTTCTTCTTTCTTCTTGTAAGCTTTTACAGTTGTTCTAATGAACAATGCCTTCGGATTGTTGGATTTTCTGATCTATATTTCATGAAAAAAATTGGGGTTTGATTATTTTTTGGGGGTTATAAAATTTCTTCAGTTCCCCATACTTGATTTTGATCTCTATGTGACTGAATATACATGTTCATGGTGGTTTTATGATATCAGATGCCATTTTTCATGCTCAATGATGTTTTGGTTGCTCTATCTGATTAAGATTCAGCCATTCTAGAGAGAGATTAGTCTTATGAGTAGAGATGAACATGTCTATTTAGGTTATAAACTCCATTTATTGCACATCTCTTGTGATAGAAGCACCTCCTGAAATGATCATTTAAACAAAATTCTTTAGTGGACTTTTATGATCTATTAACCATATCAAACATCATAGTCAGGTGTTCTAAATTGTGGTTGCAAAAACCTGCTACAACATGTTTATTTATTTAGTCATCTTAATCTTCGTTAAGTCGATTCAATCCCTTTGATGGTGTTCGTGCGGTTGACTTATATGTTGGTGGTGTCGCTTCTATGCGTCTAATGTCTAAATATGCCTTAATAATGTGAAAATAGGAAAATTTTGTGGACTTAATAATGTTATTCTTTTCTCCATATAGTTGAAACTCATTGTTCAATACCCATAGACATCACATAATTGGGGTTAAACCACATAAGTTCTTTGTTCTCTGTGTATATGTGTATCTAATTGTCCACAGATCAAAACCCTTGAACGATTTCTATAATAGTTAAGGATATTAAGGGAACACCATGTTGATACGCTAAAGAACATCTCAAAGAAAAACATAGCTCAAAGTTTCCATTAGTTTGATGCCGAATACATATTTTAATTGCATACCATGTTGGAGTTCACATAAGCAGCAAATACCTCAGTTGTTTCCAAAATTTATAGTTTGAAAATGGTTCCTGCACCCCACCTCCCTGCGGACACAAATGACCCGACTCAGCAAACTTGCAATCAAGATTCATCGACATGCCATTCAACTGATCAATCTCACAAGGATGATGATATTGCCACACAAGGGGTTCATCCTCAAGATCAATGCATCTCTTCAAGTTCAGGTAGTTGATTGCTATAACTTTTTCGGATTGATTTGAATTCTTGAGCCATCATGTTTGGCTTCATATCATGTTAACCATTATTCTTAACACTATAGTTTGGAAGGACAAGTAATCTTGGACAACTCGAAAAACGTAAACGCAAAAAAGAAATCATTTATTCAGAAGTTTTTGTCCATTCTTACAAACTATAGTTTTCTTTTTGCATTTTGATAAGAATGATGGTCCATTTGCAACAAAAGACCAATATGATGGTTTGAAAATTCAGTGATGCAATGTTTTTGTTGTTCAATCTTTTCTTTGAGTTACTTGTTTGCTATAGCCTTTTTTTAGTTCAAATTCATAATTATGCTTTACTTTTTTGTTTATTGAAAGCAACTTATTTTGTCATTCTTGATCAAATCAATAACCTTGCGGCCTCCTTTACAACACCATTTTCATGTCAAACACTTGCATGACATCGCATGCCAACAATGAAATAACAGAACTTGTGTTTTACGTAAAAACTTACTTGAAGTCGTTGCATGAATTCTTGAACTTCAACAATGGTTCCTGCCTACTTGCTTACATCAATTCTTCCCCAAAATCACTTCTATTGGCTTAAATGAGTTATTGTTATAAACATGACCTTTTAGATTTTATTTTAACTGAAAGACCTTCAAATGATCTGTCTAGTGTTAAACTCCCTAGCCAAACCATACACTTCCGGTATATCCCACTCGAGATTAGGGTCTAGGGGGTGGGGTGTATGCAGACCTGTGGTGGGATAGGGTAGTTGTTTCTATCAAGTCCCTGACTCGTGCAAAAGTGTGAGCAAAACAGAAGGAAGAAAGAACGAAATAAACAAAATAGGCCAATCTGCGTGTGTGATTGATAAATTCCATAATATAACAAGTAATTCCGTTCCATTAATATAACTCTAAAGCTCAGCCTGATAAGGGATTGATTGCTCTTCTTTTGTCATGATATATTCAAGATGAAAGCTACAAGAAGCTTGAAGAAGCTCAAATGAAGCCAATCTTATTCATGGCCAATCCAGGTATCAGCATGAATGATCTTCAAGTCGAAAAGGACATACCAATGGTACGTGCTATCTTGCTCTCCTTTTAATTCGTTTTCACATAGTTTACTAACTTTTTTGCATTCGGAATCAGGCTCAACATGCTTATGCTGATCATTACTTGAATGGTCTTTATACTCCATATGGACCACAACCTATAGTAAGCTCCTTTAATCAAAGTGATTTGATTTATTTTACTAATTATAGCTCTTAGGATCGGAAATATACTTGCTATGGTGAAATTCTTATTGGTACTTTGAATAGATTCAACCTCATATCGTGCAAATAGCTCCTGCCCGAGTTCCACTGCCTCTAGATCTATCAGAAGACGGCCCTATTTATGTCAACGCAAAACAGTATCATGGTATTCTCAGAAGGCGACAGATTCGTGCTAAGCTTGAAGCTCAAAACAAACTTGTCAAAAATCGAAGGGTATGTACACATATAAATGTTTGACTACAATCAGAATGAAAAACAAGATTTATGTTGCCATTTGGCTTTTTTGCAGCCATACCTTCATGAATCTCGACATAAGCATGCTTTGAATAGGATCAGAGGGTCTGGTGGGCGGTTTCTTCCTACCAAGAAACCTCAGCAATCGAGAGCTATGCGATTCTTGAACTCCCATTGTGCTTCAGGTTATGAAGAACCTCACGTGTCTGCAACAGATCATGAACGTTGCCACATTGCGAGTAGGGACATGATGATGGATCATGGGTTATCGTGGGGGATAAGAGGAAATGAAGAGCATCATCATCGTGGTTCAATGGGCCGGTGAGAAACAGGTTCTATAATGGTAAAGAACCGATCAGACACCGGGCAGGCAACTCATCCTTGGCTTTATTACTTGTTAAGTTTCGATGTTCATTTTGTGTTGGTCGAGCTTAATTTCCTATTTATGTTATAAAAAAGCTTGTGAATGCTTTTCATCACACTTGACTTGAAGACTTGGTTTCCGATTATGGAAATTTCAATTTATTACGAAACAAGAATTTTGGGTTGTTTGTTTGTTTGACGAAGTCGCAGGAAATGCGACAAGGGAGGAAGGGATGAGATGTGTTGTGTTGAATTATATTTTAAAAAAAACACACACACATACACACACAAACATATATATATATATATATATATATATATATATATATATATATATATATATATATAGCAAAAGTTCCATTATCTAAAAGAGCATCTCTTTCAAGTTTCTAGATCACGTCATCCAAAAAGGTGGAGAGCTGCGTGCTATGTGACAGAATGTTTCACTAAAACATAATAAAAGGTAAATTATATATCCATCAAATATACCAAATGAGAATTTATCTTAACGGTATCATAGTTTTAATTTTCTAAAAAGTAAAGTGTTCAGTGATAAGGAGGACGAATGCGTTTGTTTGTTACATTTGCCGTATATAAATATTATGTATTAAAAAGCTATGTTGTATTGGAAGACTATGGAGAGAAAGTTGTAAGTTGTGGAAATGGGGATGTGTTTTTGGATGAGGTTTTTTAGAGAGTTAACGGATAAATTACGATGGTTTCTAAAGACATTAAATCCTTAATTTTTGACAAAATGCTTAGGAAAGAAACCAAAATATGTTGTATTTTTATGTAAATATTGAATCAAAATATAAAGTAGAATACCAGAAAGTGTATTTTACAAAAATTAACAATCGAGGCATCAAGCTGAGATCAAAGTGACATAACTTATATGCGAAGGCATCAACTTGAGCGAGTGTGTGTGTGTGTGTGTGTGTGTGTGTGAGAGAGAGAGAGAGAGAGAGAGAGAGAGAGAAATAAAGGTAGCGATGGTGTCGTACATGAGCTTGTTGATCTACGGCGTCGGCGGAATAGCGGTGGCCGGACTCGCATTGTTGGTCGCCTTTCAAGAAAAGTTAGTTTACGTCCCTGTCTTGCCTGGTCTCACCAAGTCCTATCCAATCACACCCGCTCGCCTCCGCCTCATTTTTGAAGACGTATGGCTTACTTCTTCCGATGGTGTGCGCCTACACTCCTGGTTCATCAAGTTCTCTCCCAATTCCACAGGTCACTCTCTCGCTATCTACATGCATCTATGATTTCACATCCGTGATCTAGGATCCCGTTGTCAGTTATGTATATCTTCTGTTTTGAATTAGGTATGATGGTGATTTAGGGTTTCTTTATCTTCTTAATCACGTTATTTTGGAAATGAGCTGGTTGGAATGATGATACGGATTACACTGTGTAACGCTGATCAGGGGCGAGCCCTTAGGAAAAGAGTTCCTTTTTCTATCTTTATATCAGGGTATATAATTTCTTTGAAACGGGTTATATCAATTAAGAAGTCTAATATTTCGGGAAAGGAAGTTAACTCACTAGGACTGGTCTTTGATAGAAATACAAGTGAAAGGAGATTTCTGACCATAATCTGGAATCTGGATGTGGATTTTATCAAACAAGTTACTAAACACTCGTGACTTTTTGTTTTTAGAAAACTTACTATGTATTAGAATAATAAAAGAATTGTATCTAATTGATTGAGCAGGCCCGGGCCTATGTAGGTCATCACCAGAAGCTGGTTACTAGATTGAGGTTATAACAGAATTTTGTTTGCAATAGCTGACATTTTCGGTCCTATATACAACAGTACAAATGTACAATATGTGTGCAATTTTCACCATTTGTCTTTGTTTGCTAATATGTTAGTGTTTAACTGTTCAATTATGTTTTTACTTGGGTGCATCTTGATAGCTGATTGGCAGAATGATTCAGATGTAGTTAGTATGATTGTTATGTCAAGGTTCCAAACTAAAAATGTGGGCATAAGGGGGTTAATTGTATGGGTATTATATAGTACTATAACTATGTCATATGTGTGAATTTCCAGGTTGCTATATATACCAGGGAAGGTCCCAGATGTGGTTTTAGTATGCTTTCTGTTTTTTTTCCTTTTCTTCTCCTTTTTCTTTTGAATTGAGTTCTATTAGCAGGTTGGGCAGTGGGAAATGAGTTTGATAAGTTGGGGATTAGCTTTGTTTAGCTTTTGTTCTTGTAAAATTAAGGTGGTGCTTGAGAGCAGATAGTTTGAGATTCGAATTAAAATCAAGTTAATTTGGTTAAAAATTGTAAACTAATTTTGCTCCAGTTTCCATTTTGAGCAAGCATTATTAGATCCCAAAGATATAATAAGAGCTGGGGCCTACTCGACTAGTCTGTTTTGTTCCATAGTGAAGTTCTGGGAAGAATTTTGATTGTATTAAGGTTGTGTTATTCTCTATTGGCATGTTATATTGAGAATTAGCTTTAGAAGCTGCATTTAGGTATTGTACTTTTATTTCACCAGCTACAGGTATGTGAAGGGAATGCATTGCAGCTAATGTATTTGGTCATGGGGTAGAAGCATGTTAAAGACATTTTTCATTTGCAGTTATATCCCTGGAGAACGCTAATCAGAATAAAATAGGCAAACTCAAATTGTTTCTTTTATGCAGACCCGTGGTGTTTTCTACTATGTTAAATCTTTAAAAGCATCTAACTCCTTTTCTGGAAGCAAATCCAGTGAATAGATATAATTTGTCGATTATTCTGTAATTAAGCTTTTCCTATTCTCAAAGTTGGGATTAAGAGTATTGGTGTTTGATATGCAGGCCCAACTATTCTCTTTTTTCAAGAAAATGCTGGAAGTATCCTTCTTGCTGGTAGATGCCTATAGTATTTGTTACCTTTTTTTATTTATTTGATAACATAATTTACTTTGTTGTCATCGTAATTCTAAGTAGATTTGATTATTGGAGGCCTTGACTGATGAATCATAGATATTGCACATCGTCTTGAGATGGTGCGCATTATGTTACAAAAGTTGCATTGCAATGTTTTCATGCTTTCATACAGAGGGTATGTTCTTGTTGTGTATACCTATGGATGGGGCAGTCATGCTTTTGATTTCATTCTTGCATTTGATTGTTTCATTTTTCTTAGCCTTCAGCATGCTGTTCTGCTCATCTAACTAAAATTGTGGTTTTTGACAACGAATAGTTATGGTGCTAGTGATGGTTATCCTTCTCAACAAGGAATCACCAGGGACGCTCAGGTTTGCTTTCTAGCTAATATTATTACATGATTTTCTTTGTCCACTCTTTATTTGAACGTTTTGGGCATGTATCCACCTTTTCGACTAGGCCGCTCTAGATCATCTCAGTCAGAGAACAGATATCGACACTTCTCAAATAGTAGTCTTCGGAAGGTCTCTTGGTGGGGCAGTTGGTGCTGTCGTTACCAAAAATAATCCAGATAAGGTATTTCTATATCATTTATGAATGATTTCCTTTTTCAGTCTGTCATTTACTGGATGTGGAATTTTGTATTTGTGTTCTAAACATTTCCTTTTCCTATTATAGCTTAGATCAGAGCTTTTTGTTTAGTTTTCCTGGTCTTTACTTGCTAATTGTAATACATGTTGCCAGTCCATTTTTTCATTTCAAATAGTGTCTTTACATCATATAAAGATTAGTACTGGTCCTAAGTCTTAACGTATGTGATTTATAAAGGATTTCTTTTGGAGGAAAGACTAATTTATGCGACTGTCACAAAGAGGTAAGTAAATGATAAGTGCTGAAGATAGCTGGAAGTTTTTTAGCGAGACAAAAGTCAAATTAATCAAAAAGTAGCACGACCAATCACCTATGAAAGAAACTGATTTAGCTTAGGTATTTGAGAACAGCGTAGCTGGTGGTTTGGCTGTTGTTTTAGATTACCGATTTGAGGCTTTATGACTTCCTAGAAGTCTCATGCGAGGTGGAGCATGAAAAGATGCATGATGAGAACATAAAAAAATAAAACATTTGGAAAGAAAACAAAAGAACTAGGCAACTGCAGGTGCTATAGGGTCTTTTGAAAATCATTAGCTAAACATTTGCATATAATCAGGTATTGTTGTGAGAAGCTCTCAATAACACTCGATATTTTATTCAATAATCTAGTTTTGAAACCTTGGGAATTACAACTAAACCCTCGGACTACTTGGGAAGTGGAAAAACACCAAAAGAAGACGCAACCAATTAATGAAGACCTTACTTACATAATAGCCATCCAATTAACATTCATAGAACCAAACTAGGAAAATTTCTATTGATACCAACTATTCGCTTGATGGTTAATAAAACTTTGCCTGGGGTTCTGCCCCCTATACCAAAAAAAACTATTGGCTTGGTGTAGCCTCTGTTGCCATTATCCTGGCATAGCATTGCCACTCTTTGTACATTCCAATCCCTACAGCTTCTATAAGGTTATAGTTGTTCTATTGTGACCCACATAATCATATGGAGGATGGAAGAGAAAATGGTGGAGATATGAAAAGTAGAATAGCTCATTGCCCAAATACTTATAAAGAGTAGGAGTGAGTTATCAACGGGAGGAAGGATGAAATAGAATATGAGGCAAAAGAAACGAAAATGGAATAGAAAAAGGTTACAAGAAAATGAAATTTGATAGAGACATGAGCCATTTCTTTCTAGACAATATATTGACCATTAATTTATCCATAGGTATAGCGGAAACATCTAGGGTTCACAAATCACAAGAGCTGATATCTTAATTCATTAAGAAGGTCTTAGTGCTAACTGGATAAATGGGCCATTTAATTCTTTAAGGTTCTCTGAATTTAAGAATAAGAACAATCCGGATGTTTTACAAGCTGTCAGACAGAGCAAGATATCTACCATATTATCATCAAGGTTTTTGAAAAAGATTATGTGTCCGGGGAGCAGTTTTTAATATTTTTGATATGTGAACACAATGGGTGGTGGGTGGGTGGAATTTTTGGGTTTTATGGGGAAATCTCTTGCTAGATTTGTACATGTATTGGTTTATTGTCTAGATTACTAGACAATTTAATCTATATCACAGATTGCTATTTCTATGAAGAATACAAGTTTATACTGATTTTATGGATGTTGAATGCTTAAACTTTATGAAAGGGTCTGTGAGAATAAGAAGCACAAATAACATTATGGCAGAAAGGACACAAAGAACTAACAAACAGTTTGATGAACAGACTTTCCAACTTACTTCTCAAGTGATCTCATGTTTATGATCCTGATCCATAGCACAGCTCATGTTATCACAGAGGGAGATTTTCTATATGTATTGCATAAGTTCTTTGTACCAGAGAAGTGATAGCATCCCAGGTTTAGCTGTTTTTAACAAGGAATAAAACACTATCTGAATGTTTCTTTTTCTTGGATATACCAATTTTCTAAAGCGGTCTTGGAGAATGTGAAAAACAAAACATTAGTGTATGTGCCTCTGAACTCTCTTTTCTCAACTTAGGACCCATAGCACAAGTCATGGTGTATTCTCTAAACAAGCAAGGAGCCAAGACACTTTATGAATATCTTGTGGTAAATTATTTGTACTAGGAAAAGAGAACGCATACCAATCAACCTCTGATCCAATGTATCTAGTATGTTACTCACATCTGTGAACAAAGAAACTGGATCAGAAAGCAACAGTGAACGGATGACATACAATAAATCTCAAAAACATTGGGGAGTGCTATTATGTGTCATTTTACTTGAAGCGTTGTATTTTTGTGATTATATTGTATTTGGGGTGTGTGTGTCATCTATTTATCAATTCTTGTCTTGCCTGGGTGAAGTTCTATATAAAGTTATTGTTTCAAGCTTTAAACTATTGGACATGTAATCCTGTTGTGCTCTATGACTAGGTATGAGTTACAATTTACAACTTCCTGTTACATGTGCCTACCATTGCAGGTGGCAGCATTGATATTGGAGAACACTTTTACTTCAATTCTAGACATGGCTGGAGTCTTACTACCGTTTTTGAAGTGGTTTATAGGAGGAAGCATCTCTAGTGGCCCCAAGATTCTTAATTTCATTGTTCGTTCTCCCTGGAGCACCATCGATGTAGTTGGACAGGTAGCATCTTCTTAATAATCTGGTGTTAGAAAGAACAGTCGTATTATATCTTTAATTACTGGTTAATGGTCTAATATTCAAGATCAATATATTCTCTGATGCTTAATGTGGTTCTTTATTATAAAACGATCGGCTGTTGTCTTCTTGTCTGTTTGCTCACTTCCATCTTTTTTCATTCATACACAGATTAAACAGCCCATCCTTTTCCTCTCTGGACTACGAGATGAGATGGTTCCTCCATTTCAAATGCAGATGCTATATGCAAAAGCAGCCGCCCATAACAAAAGATGTACCTTTGTGGATTTCCCTACTGGCATGCATATGGACACATGGCTGGCTGGTGGTGATCATTATTGGAAATCCGTCCGAACTTTTATACAGCAAAACGTGTTAGAAAAGGACGATGGATCTCAGCACAAGGGAACTGGTACATCTTTGTTTGCTGTTCATATGCATTGCTTGCTAATATGGTTAATATTTCCATTACAAAGTATATACACCTTCATATGGCTGTGGTCGACCCAGCATAGGGTTTTAGTGCAAAAGCCATTGCCCATAGAAACACACACTCACACTATACAAACAAACACCAATAGACCATTAACATGATTACAAATAAAGTACTCCCTGTGGAAATTGCAACCCTCCTTTTGGGGATGTCCCATGAAAGTTACTAATAGTTCCTTTCCACTGAAGATTTCAAGTTGAAATTACCTATTTAGTCATCAACACTACAAGTAGTCTATATTCAAAAGTTTGCAAATTTCATGGGACAAAAGGAGTAGTTGACTTGACTCGGGTCATTTTGTGTTTATGAGTATTTGTCACATGAGTATTTTGGATATCTGACAAATACTCGACATATTGTTAAAGTGTATAATTATTTTAGGGAAGTGACTGACTGGCAACAGTTTTGTAATTGTTCAGATTCTGAATCGAGTGATTGGATGGGATAAAGAGGGTACTTCTTCTTGTTGTTGTTGTCTTGTTTCTTGACAATTGCAGTGACCAAAAAAAGCTGTTTGTGATTGTGAGTCAAGATCTGTCATTGCCATGCGTCTCAGTTGCAGATGGTTCTTCATTCAGAAGTGTTATTGCCCAGATGTTGCTGATATGCTATTGCTATGCCGTATGATGCTGAAATCGGCTGAATTTTTTGACAACAAAAGGGTCCAAATTTATTCACAAATCTGTAGTTGTTTGCAAATATGCCTTTCTATGATTTATATCAAGTGACACTTGTTTGGAAGCTGTCTTTTGAGAAAGGCAGTGGTGTGCCTTTGCAGCAAGCTTTTTTAACTTTAAGTCGATCACCATCATCATCATCATCATCATCATCATCATCATCATCATGCATTTAATACTTGGTTTCAGATATGATGTCTCTTTTTGAACAATCATTTCATCTTATTCCGATTGTTTTATTTGTTTTCAATTGAGAAATGCAGTATCCTTTTTATTTATTTTTTGAGATGTATATCATTTTTTTACATGAATGTTTGATTTTGGTTTCACATTTCACCATTTAAATATTTAGATACGTTGTTATTTGTTTTCTAAAACAAAAGCCACACATGAATCGTGTTTCTTACGAGGATTGGATTTGGTACATATTATCTTAATGTATACACAAGGATGAAGATAACTTATAACACTTGTTATCTTAACTCTCTCCCATCAAACCCGAACCCTTCTAAATAAGTTGCTAATTGCTGGTATTTGTTTCAGAATAGCTAAACAAAAGATGTAGCCATTAAAAAAATGTAATTGATTTATGTTAAAATCTGCTTGGTTTTAAGATGTCAAATTATAAATTGACAATCATGACTGATTCCTATTAAAAAGACAATTTTAACATCCAACCCTAATTCAATGATGAGGTATATATATATATATATATATATATATATATATATATATATATATATATATATATATATATATATATATATATATGACTTGGGATCATATGAGGTCAAAGGTTTTTTGCAAGACCCGTAAAACCAATTCTCAACCCTTGGATTAGATCTACAATCTGAACATTCATAATCACAAAATTGACACGAAACTTCTCAATAATCACAAATTTGCCACCGTGCAACTTTAGACTATTAGATCATTAGTTAAAAAGTTGATCAATGAACATAAATTAGGGAAGGGTTCAAACGAGAACCCATGTGATTTACGAGAACGCAAGAACAACCCAATAACCTCATATTGTGATAAAAAATAAAATTAAAAGATTTTTAAAATT